ACTATGGTTTAGGACTTGGAATTTACCCATTAATATAAGTTATGACTTATATAAAAATACATGAATGATGCAAAAACTGAGTATGGCACTGTGTTCTTTCTGCCCATTCCAATTGGGACACTGTATGAAGATAAGTATTTCTACTCATCAGGCAACAAAGGTCATAAATACCAAATAGCACATTTGGTAATTAAAAAAGTCAAAATTGTATTTGGTATATCTTTTTGAATTAAATACATAAAATATGATGGTGTTTTATAATGTTTCATTGTTATTTGGACTGTTATACTTATTACCATTAATGAAACCCCAAATCACTATATCTCTAAAGAACATTATTCCTAATATTTGTAGCCCGAATGCATGCTACAGTCACAACACTAACCTAACCTAGTGTGAAGTATCACCACTTGGGCCCTGGAAGTACAATTTAGCTTGCCTCAAAGTTATTAGGGATAGCATGCATTCGGGCTACAAATATTAGGAATAATGTTTTTTAGAGATATAGTGATTTGGGGTTTCAATTATTGGTATTAAGTTTTACAGTGTGATATTTATGGCAGTCTTATTTTAAAAGTAAGGTTGGATATACACCCCAGAAAATTCAAGAAGTTGGTTAGTTGTTTACAGCAGAATTCTAGTTTCACAATTTAAGGTTGATGCAGCCTTGCATTGTAAGCAATAAGTAGGGCAGCATTCTAAGCTCATTTTTTCCAAAATAGCATTTACGGCATTTGTTGTGGAAAGCATAAATATGTAAGTTATGGTAAGTAATATTTATATATTCTCTGTAGGCAGGGGAATATTTGCTTTTAGGTCAAGAGGGCCATGGTCAGAGGCGTATTTTAGCAAAAGCCATATAAAGGCATATGGTACTGACCTATAATTCAATGAGATTTACTAATTCTAGGGGGGCTGCAAATAGTAAATGGACCAAGGCTTCACATTTTAAAATATTCTCGCATCTGTAGATTCATATAACCTCTCGGCGGCCTTAGCGCACACGCCCTTCACCTGATTTGCGCCGGCCACCTTCATGGGGCCCCGCGCGGGTTGGGAACGATTGCATTGTTTTGCCGATTTCTCTGTTATTTTGTAAGAATACCCTACGCAAACTATATATATTTGCATTCTCCATAAAATTTCCTATAAGATAGTGTCCACACAATGCTTCATGTCTATAATCTATTTTAATTACGTTACGGTAAACTCGGGAAAGATAAAAAAAAGGCGTTTAGATGGGTAAAATGGAGTATATTTTCAAAATTTTATTTCCAGATTTTTTGGTTATTTGCACATTCTATTATAACTTACCAAATAAACACATAAAATACTATACTCGCACAATTTAATTATACCTACAGCTCGTCACATTGCGCGCGCGCGCCGTTAATGTAAACAAACCGCGAAGTATAAACAGATCAAATTTCAAGTGGGTCGATAAGGATTTGGCCGGGCGTTTGAATGGCTGTAATTTATTACTCCATGAGCTCCGAGTGTTAAGATAACATTAGAACCAAGATTGTTTTGAATAACGTTTGTATATTTTTTAGGTTTAAGAACTTACAACGAGGCATTTAAAAATCGCCTACAAATCAGTCATCTCAGTATTATGTCTATAAAACGAAAAGTATTTTCAATTTTGATAAACAGTTTTTTTTATCAAAATGTACGCGAAATTTGCTTTAGAATAAACAAAAACTAATTACTAGTTCACATACAAGAAAATAATATAAAAAAATATTTCGTTCGTGTATTTGAATTTCGAACGACCGTTCCACCGCGCGGATTTTGTTTTTTTTTTATTTCTTCAAAAATACGAACTCAAGGGATTCTTTGTATTCGAAATATTAATCATGAATAATTTATTCAATAATTAAAAATTAAAACATTACAATTATTATCGAAATTATCAAATGAAAACATAGGGTAAGTACCCCTAAGTTTTCGCTGATTTTTTTTGCGACCGCGTCTGCAAAAAAATTCTAAAAAAAAAAATTCACGGAGACCCGCAAACGAAACATCAAAATAGAGTAACTAAATGTATTTAACTTAACCAGGCATGGTGTTTTTTTCTTTAAAACCACTCAAAAGCACTTAAAATAGTCTGAATACACGGCATATTTTTTTTCAGACAAAAAACGGCGAACGACGAACTTTGACAGATAACAGTATAAATATTTCATATGGCACTTGTTTTTATGAATGGCTAGATAGCTAGCCCGTTTTTTCCTCTAAAAATTGATATAAGAATGAAGGTGCTAGCAAAACAAAATGGTTGTAATATTTGCTACAGATTAGGTGGGTACGCGCGAAACCGAAAGTCGGTCGCGCAGCGCAAATGTGAAAAATGACAGAAACCGAGAGTCGGTTTCGCGGCGCACGAGAGGATAAAAAACACTTACTGAGATTTGTTAAGTCCACAGATGCTTTCAACTTCTTTTGTTCCTTTTCATGGCCACGTACATGTTTCACAAGATTATACAAATACTTGAAACTTTGAGAACACTTCGCGCACGCATACATCTTGTCCCTGTTATCATTTTCAGACTCATTTCCTAAGTTTTGGTAAAGAGAACTCAATTCATCATCACATTTATCTGAATGCTTGATCACTCCACCTGGTAAAATCTCCAGAGTTGGCCATCTTTCCGGTGGTGTTTTTGATTCCACTTTTGATGGAAATTCCAATTTCTGGAAAAACAATCTCTCATAAGCATAAAAATCAAAGCAGTCTAATAGAAAGGTGTTAATTGAGAATACATTTTTTTGCATTCAATACAATACTTACTACAGATGAAGTTTTAACAGGTTGAATTTCGGGCACAATCAATTCTGAGTCGCTACTGTCGTCACATTCCACCACATCTTCGGAGTGGATAGACACCATGCTCCCTATGTTGGAGTCGTCATCGTCAACCACACATTCATTATCGTAGTCCAGATGATCCACAATATAAGTCTCTATAGGTTCCGTTTTGTTTTCTTCCAATCTGAAAACCTCGCAAGGCCTGTCCCGCGCTGGCTGAACATCCTCCATTCGCACTAAGGGACCATTATCAAGGTCTTCATTTTCCAACGTAGATGTACTCATTATTTTTCACGGCAATCAAAACGTCATAAAACCAAGTGTCTTCACAAGTTTAACTACGATTCAAGATAGAATACAATACACATGTTATCGAAATACAAATTTTATTGAACAAAATGCACCGTAGCTAATCTAAAGTTTATAAAAAGAAATTCAAGCGATCAAGAGACTTCGTTCATTTCCTTCGTTGACAATTTGCTATTGACAAATCACATCACAGACTAATTTTTTTTTTGGTTTAGTTCTCCCTTGTCAGGGAAGGCAAGGGGAACAATGAACATACAGCCTAGTCTTAAGTTAAATTATTCTGTTTTTCTTTTTACATTAGAATGTCGGTGTGACGCATTCTAATGTTTCTAGAAGTGTTTAGCACGAAATGTATCGAGCTGGCTTTTTCGATAAGCTTCTGTGAGGTAGTCAATACTACAATAAAATTCTCACGTCCACTTGACCGGAATAGCGTATATTTTGACGATTCTACTAATTCTTCAGTTACGCAGACAGTTGTAACACAAAATCACACCAATTTTATTACACAATATCCACTATGAACGAATTTAAGAATAATTAAAATAAGATGCCAACCACACTCGATGAAATACCGCCAAAAACTCCATCACAGACTAAAGGCGGAGACATTTTTTTTTTCCCCGTCTTGGGAAAAGCAAAGGCAGAGCCATGCAGCCATACGGAGATACTATACTACGCATGACAAATTGACAAGACAAGACATTTTTTTTAATGTGCTCACTTTTCAGGTAAGGCAAGAGGAACAATATATTGTTTTAAACTTTAATGGTCACGCATTAAAGAAACTCTAGTCTATAAACTGCGTGATCATGGCACTTGCAACAGTGCCGAAATATCGAAAATTCGCTTAAAACATGGTACATGGTAACAATCCCGTAAATAACATAAATACTATAAAGGGACAAAGCCTATACAGCCTAGTCTTCGGTTTTAATTTTATTTTTATTTTTTTTTACATTACAAAATGTAGATGTTGTGTAGCAGTAGACTGTACTAAGCTAAAATGAGATTAATGTAGAGAAACGACACGTAGCAGTACATAATTAAATATATAATTTCGTGTTCACAATCAAAACGTTGGTAAACAGACTACCTCATAGAAGCTTATCGAGAAAGATGACTCGATACACTCCGAGAAATATTAGAAAGCGTAATACACACATTCTTATATAAAAGAAAGAAGATTAATACAAAAATAATATAAAGCTGCACGGCTTTGCCTTTGCCTTAACCGATAGGGAAAAATAAAACTAAAAAAAAACTCAATGACATTGTCAGTGTCAGTTGCATTGGGTATAGAGGTCATTTTTTCTGTTTGTTTTTCCGTTTTACATCAACAACTAAAAAGTATAGGTACATACCTATGTTTACATTAGAATTTTATCAATAATTGTATTCTTTATTTGTTCAAAATGGGTTAAGGCACTGTCAATTTAAAATTTCAAGTCAAACCTTATTTAAACTCATCGAAATTTTAGAGATAAATAAATCACATACAGTAATTAGCTACTACATATCTCCGAGGACAACCTTTATCTACAGAACTTAATCTACCCCCGAATTGTTTTAGATCCGGCTCCGGCTTTAGTTCTATTTTCAGTTTTACCGTTTTAATATTGTGTCTGTGCAGTGATCTTTGCAACCACTTTGCAACATGTCTCTTATATTTTATATGAATCCATTTCGGCTATTTCGTCGTTATGTGCGTACTCCTTTTGAGGTTTTTGTCGCTAAACAATATTTAGGATATAAAAAAAAGACAGATGAGGGTATAACCAGTGCAAGGGCTTTGATATATAGAGTCGGAGTTATATCAATATTTCTCACTGCAATACTGTGGATTTCTGTGTTCATGTATGTTGTATTCTATTACACATACATGCCGAATGTGACCCATGTGAGGCCAGTCCATCTTCAGTTTAAGTAAGTAAACAAAACTATCAGTAACTTTTTTTTCATTCATTTATCATAACAAATGGTATGATTTCATTTTTATTGCAGGTTTTACTGATCTCTTTGGGTGATTTTTTATGAGAAAAACTTGGGATAACATAGTTTCCTTTGATATCATTCTTTAACAGACAAAGCAAATTATTGTTTATAGTGTCTAACATCTGTTTTCCATAATGATCTACCATCCTACCCTGTAAGAACTTTCTTTATCACTGTGTCACTAATTTCTAAACCCAGTGTGTTTAGTTTACTTATTATGCTATTCCAGCTGAAAATCCGCTTTGTGGCTTATGCTACAACACAAGCTGAGCTGGTCAACCCTTACGTCTATTTGTTTCTGTTAATATTTGTGTGACGTTTAAAACATTGCTTAAATAATTACATTACTTTAAAACAGAAGAATAAGTTATAATAAGTGATTTTGGTAAGAAAATGTTATTAGTATAAAAAATTACTTTGGTGCCTACCAGAGGGCAGAGGGTCAGTTATTTCAAGTAAATAACAACCATTTTATATGGTTACACCTCATTATTTCATATTTTTTACAGATCATGTGATGAGAGTATGGGGGTTTGTTCATTTCCTTCGGCACATGTACAGCTTACAAAAAAAAGCCACATGTTGATGGCAACACAGCCATATAGGATCAAACTTATACTGGAAATGCCAGAATCTCCTGTTAACAAGGAATTGGGTATGTCATGTTATTTATCCACTCGCTACATGCACTATGTGTTAGCTTTGAGTTGGCTGCTCCCACCCTCCCTGCTTCACCATTCCATGCTCTTAGACACACCCTTTTAGGTGACCCTATTGGTCAATGGTATCAGTTGATGTGCCTGTACCATCATTTTGTAATGGTCAGTGATGGCCAACTGGAAGCAAATGAATAGTAATTTTAACCTTTGTGCATTATAAATTATTTTTAAATGTTTAAAGATAAACTGATGCTGCATAAAGATGTCTTGCTGTAGCCATTCTCAACTTGCAACTGCTTATTTGAAGGTTATATACTTGTGTAAAATTTAAATTAACATCATATTTTTTCAAGGACCACTTCAGTTGCTTCCAGGGCCCATTGGTTAAGAACCACTGCTCTATAGCTGTGTAAAAACCACTGCTCTTTAGGGAATGAAAAGGAAAGATTGCTGTCAAATCAACAAATAGCATTTATTTATTATTATTTATTGATACATATTAATTGCAGGCATGTTCATGGTTTGTGCTCAGATGAGGGCAAGAGGGGGTGTCCTAGTTTCTTCATCCTGTCGATTTGCAATGCTCAGACACAGGTAACAAGTTAACTGTTAATTCCAACATAAACTCCAGTACCCACAAATAATAGTATAGAAATTTCAATGGTTTTATATAAAAGTAGATAATGTAATTAGTAATTTAGACATTCATTGATGTCGATTCTGGCATGATTCTCTAAAGCTAAACTTAAATTTGACAACAGTGCATCTTTGGCCTTCTCAATACAGAATGAAAAGGTGAGACTGATGTTAAATTTAGTTTAAGTTTAGAGAATCACGCCAGAATCGACACCATTGTTACAGACACACATTTACATTGATATACATACTATTTTACAATATTTTTTTTAAGTAACAAAAGTTGAGCCTTTGTTGCATAAGAAAAATGTATTTGTTTGCATCAACAAAGTTTTTGCTTTTCGAGCCTGTTGGAAAACACGTACACATCACCCCCGCGCGGGTTGAGGGGCAGGGATAGATTAAATAAAATGGCTGCTAACAACTGCAGATGTAATCTGAACCAACGATTTAACATGCAATTCGAAGACAAGATTCGAAGTACGGAGGAGCAATAGATAATTAATTTGTGGTCACTTATCCCATACGATAGAGGATTTGGTTATGACCAATAATATTTAGTCTCTATAATATTATATTATAGTATGATTTTATTTTTTAAATAAAAGGTTTTTTTTGTCTGACAGCTTCCTAACATGGGGGGCTACCATAAAAAAACGGGTTTTTTTTGTCGCGCAGCTTCAAATTTTAGTTTTTTAAAATAATACTTTGGAACAATGTAGAACAAACAAACATAGAACTAGGGATGGCGATCTGAGATCGATTAATCGAAGAATCGATTTTTTGAGCCAAAAAGATCGATTTGTAGTACAGAATCGATTCACTGAATCGATATTTTGCCCTTGAAAATCGACATTCGATTTTATTATATATATTTGGTATAAACCAAAAAAGTATTAACAATTATTTGAATGTACCCGTTATAAGAGTGCTGCCGGTCAAGGGTATAAACCCTATTATAATTATATAAAAACAAAATCGCGAAATGGCTATATGAATGGATTCCTTCTCCCCTTTTTAATAAAAAAAGTTACGTTTGTTTGTAATCTTTGAATAAAAATATTTTTATCATCGAATCACCTGATTTTACTGATAAGAGATCGTTAAATTGTAATATGTATCTTGTTTTTAATAAAATAGACTTATATTACATTATAAACAAAAACTTAAAAAACGATCGTTTTTCAGAAATCGATTTTATTGGCCCCGATTTTTTGTGGATCGATTCATTAGGTCACGATTCGAATCGATTTAAAAATCGATCTTTTTCGGAAAGAATCGCCATCCCTACATAGAACGATCTAGAACAACCTAGATAATAATAAAATTCAAAAAGTGGGGGCTAACTTCACATAGGTGGATTTCTACCAACGACAAAAAACCCTTGTCTGTGGAAGTGACGCTTTTCTCCCACGCATACACGGTACAATATTTAGATATAAAATAGGTAAATATAAATAGATGCAGAAACTATTTAAGATTGATTTAAGACATGAATGAAGACAATAGGTTCAGTAGAACTCGAAATAATTAAAAGAGTTTTTGTAAAGCGCGGGAACCAAAAGGGTTTGACGGCCATTTTCTTTCGGAATGATCTGGGGTCTGACATAATCACGAGTTGATGTCAAATTAAAAACTATTTAAATAATTTTCATATTGATAACCCAAACCACAATATGATTTTTTGTCGAGTCTCTAGACACATCGCCATCAATTAAAGACAAGGCTGTATGGATTTGGGTCGTTTCGCCTATACATAAGTAGAAAGAAATTAAAAAGAAACTAAAAAAAGTTTGATTTTTCTCTTCGCGCGCGCGATTTGTCGTTTGGTTGTCGCTCATTATTTTGATTCAGTTTACATTGTTTGTTTTTTTCTTTCGAGTTTTAGGAGAAAAGTAAGTAAAATTTTATTTGGTTTTAAAATTCGTTAATTACGAAGAAAACCTAAAGAGAAATCTTTTGTAGGATGACGTCGCTATCACCGTTAAAACTTGCCCCAGAACAGGTGAACATTTTATTGGATTTCGTTGAGAACAACAAGCACTTAGCTTTCGGTCGCACATCACAAGATAACGATAGCCAATATGAGCATTGCTTCAAATGGAAAGAATTGGCTAGAGAAATTAACGCTTTGGATATGGGTCATCCTAGAGCGGGCCTAGAATATAAAGAAGTATGTACATAACTATTTATTTAATAATTTTTATAGAACCTTTTAAGTAATACCTGTTGAAATTAATGTTGTAAAATTTAAAATAATCGAGTTTATAGAAGCTTCCTTTATAATATATTTCAGTGTTGGAAAGAACTCAAATCAAAGGTGTATGGAAAAGTATACCGAGCCAGAAATAGAGCTAAGACAACAAAGCAGCCCGTGAAGCTCTCACTTCAAGAATACGAGTGGAGAATTTACAACATCATGTCAGGACAACCGATAGATCGATTATTAATCTTGCAAATTGGGAATAATAACACACCAAACAAGCAAATAGGTAATAGTGAGTATCTGCAAGATATTTAAAAAAAAATGGTTGTAGCTCCAGTAGGCTATGTAGGTAGTACCAAATTTCTTGAGCAAAACTACAGTGAAATAAATTTGCACAGTAGACATTATTTTCAGTAAAATTGCTTTTGCAAAAGCTTCCTTGTCTATGGTTGTTGCACTAGAAGTTTGCTGGGGTATTTATCAAGCCTCAACAACAAATGTGTCTACAAGATAAAGCTTGTTCTACTGTCCGCCTTTTAAAATAATTGAATAGGATACTAAAGACTAAACTAATTAAGATTACTAATGAAATTGTGATCACATTCTACATTCCGTTTTAGGCCCTGAAACCAGTTTTGTAGAGCAAGAAAATGTTGCAGCAAAACAGAAAAAAGAAATCTTACAGAATCTTGATGATCTTACGACAGCCATGCACAGTCTTGCCAGAAGTCAGGCAGGCCTTGCACAAACGCAAATATCTATAATCAGAAGTCTGAAAGAACTTGCTCAATTGATAAAAGATACATAATTAATCTTTAAGTACTCTTACTTCTAAGTTCTTCTTTTAAGCTGATCTAATAAATATATTTTAGTTTTTAATAAAAGTTTTAAATGTTACTATCATGTTAATGTTGATTTGTTTTAACCTCTTTTTTTTCAATTACTTTAGAGAGATTTATATGACTTTGTCTGATAATAAAAAAGTTTATTTTACATGATTTGTAATGTTATTAATAATTTTGATTTGTAGTCTTATTCCAATTTTAAACAGTTGATATTTATTATTATGTTTTTATGTTAACACAAGAATTGGATTGTGAGAAGTGATTGAACTGTTTTTTAATTTTATACAAAGACTGAGTACAAAATTGTGACCTCCTATGAGTAATAAGACTTATTTAGTCTTAGCTTAGTATTATAAAGTATGCACAAGGTACTTCAAATAACTTGTGCTGTAATGATATATGATTCATAAGTTTTTAGAAAAGCATTGTACACATGTAAGATGTGATTTTGTTTAAATGCAATAAAAACAAGTTTGAAGTAATAATATATTTTTTGTTTATTTTACCTGGTAGTGCATGCAATCCCATTTGTAGTATTTATGGTTTTCATATTTATTTCTATGTTTTCACGCATACAAAACACTTTTTAAATGGGTATTTTGGTATAATGAAATATTAGTAGGTATTATTAAATGTAACGTCTTCACTTTCTTTATTTACAGCATTCAGACACGCTAAACAATAAACTTGATCTGAATTAAGGATTTTCTTTTTGTTGCCATCAGAAACGATGAGGTTTCCAAAATACTTCAACAAAATCTACTTCGACTTTAAGTGTCATAAAAATATAGTAACAGACAATTTGCTCAAAATGGATTTTGATAACTCAGTCATTTCTATTAAAAAGTAACCCAATAACTATGAGTAATCAATGTCGTCTTGGTCCTGTTGAGGAGCTCGATGGCGCTGGTGATTAGCGCGTTCGGCTGCGATCGGTGTGGTCGGTCATTGAATGGGTGACCAAAAATCTGTCTCTAGTATTTCTGTGCTTCAGAAAGCACTTTAAGCCGTTGGTCCCGGCCGCATCTGCAGTCGTTAGCTCCCGCCAATTCTCACTGGGCCCGCGTGGTAGGTCATGGCCCAATCTCCCTATTTCATCCATTGGGAAGGCCTATGTCCTAGCAGTGGTGACGTTTATAGTCTGATGATGATGAACTACGAGAAACGATTACAACACAATGGTGCCGATTCTAGCATGATTCTCTAAACCTAAACTTAAATTTGACAGCAGTATATCTTTGTCATTCTCTATACAGAATGAAAAGGAGAGACTAATGTTAAATTTAGTTTTAAGTTTAGAGAATCACGCCAGAATCGACACCAATGTCCTCATAATACGCAGTGGCGTAGCATGGGGGGTGCGGTCCGCACCGGGCGGCACTTTGCCGGGGGCGGCGCTGCGGAGGTGGCAGATAGAGAAAAAAAATTAAAATATAAAAAAAAGTTAATTTCTTTCAGTTTTTTTTCGTCATTTTTTTGTTGTTGTTACCAAATACCCAGGTACCTATGCAGGTTCTATGCATGGGTGATGCAAGCGCAAGCTTTCTCAATAACTATTATTTAGGAATTATTGTATTACGTTTTCTCTGTAATTTTTCTAAGTGATATTGTGATAGTCTACCTTCTACTCTATGTCAAAAAATGTTAATTTCACTCTTAGGTTAGTGTTATTCAATAAAAGTACTCTTTTTACCATGCCTCAATTTTTTTATAATGTATTGCAAAAATAAGAGGGCGGCAAATTTGGAATCCGCACCGGGTGCTAGTGACCTATGCTACGCCACTGATAATACGCAACTTCAATAGGTACTTTGTAAACTTAACAATAGTGGGGAGAGCACTATCTTCTGGTCCTTAGGAAAAGGAAAAGGAGAACGATCGCTGTAGAAAATAGTGTCCCAGAAATATTGACAAAATAAGTGAGGCGCTGCGATCGCTAAGTTGTCTCAATAAAAGTGGGCTGTTGTGCGCTTATTTGAAATGACCAATGCCACGAAGAAAATTTGTACTATATTCAACTAACTTCATCTACTTGTATAAACAGCTAACTTCATACATACTACTTGCCGACGGCAGCGCGGCTGGTGGCTGAAAATGAACTGTAAATTCTACAAAATTTCAGGGACAGGCGGGCTAATGCTTTAGCTCGTAGCGATCGTTCTCCTTCTCTCTAACCTCCATGTTTCATATTATCATGTATTAAAATGTAAAGTGGTTCCAATAAAATTATTATTATTAAATACGCACGCGCGGAATGGTGCTGAAGTACTCGTGCTTCTAGTATACAGGCGCCCTAATAAATAACGTTTTCGCAGGTCTAAGTTGCACGAGGTGATCCGCACGTTTGCATTCTCACCGTTCCTTCTGTCTGGAGTCAACGAAGAGAAACAGCTGCTACAGGTCGAGCTGTTCAGCGACTTTGAGGATGATCCGGTAGGTTTAAGTATCATTTTTTTATGTCAAACAAGGATATGGTCCGCCTGATGGTAAGCGGCCATTACAGCCTTACAGACGCTTGCAATACAAAAAATAAAACTCTCGTCGTTGCCTACCCTGACCCAATCCCCTACTATCCTGTTGAGCCCTAATACCTTACTTGCCGACAGAAACTCGACACCACTAAAAAGTAGTGTTATTTTTTGCTGTGATCTTCTGTAAGAAGCCTCCACCGATTACTTCCCCAGACAGGTGCTCCAATTCGAGCGGGAAATCCGCTAAGCGCTACCTCTCTTGTATGGAACATCGTTATCAGCCCATTAATCCCAATATTGTTGGAAGCTGGGTAAAAAAGAAAAAAAACAAGACATGACCTGACTGGTTGTGCGGTCGTTTTTGTGGACATGGTGATAGTAAACTCGAAAGCTCTTCAAATGAGGATATTCTCATTCTTAAATCATAAAACCAACGATATTAAATAGCCTAGATACATCAAGAGCGCTCAAAATGTGTCCCAATCAAGAAGTGCTTGGTTCACAGTCACGCGCGGACCGTTGAAAAGTCAAGATGCCGCAAAGCTCCGTGAAAAATGCGAAATAAATACTTATACTACGTAAAGTGTCGTTTTTTCGACAAGTATCTAATCAATGTTTGTTAATTAAACGCATTTGAAGCAAATTTTGTTGTAATACTTACTATAAACTGATTTAATAGAAAATATTTGTGATATTCAAATGCAGGGTAATATAGCCGTTTCTTTCCCTCGCGGTTCGTACCTGCTATATTGCTAACAGCGCATTCAGAATTGCGCGTAGAGTCAAAAAAATAAGGTCTATATTCTTCCGCACATAGCAATTAGTCTTAAAATTTTACGAGCTTGCATTTCGAACTGTCGTAAATCATAACTCTTCGACGCATGCGTTTTAATTAAGACTTTAAACAGTATGCATTAAAGGTGACTTTCAATGTTTAAATAATGCCTTATATTGTTTTTGATAACGCGATCATCTTACGGTGCTCCGTGGATGGTCAAATGTGTTAAACCTTTTGGACAGGTTTCGGCCACGATTTTGTTCGTGATGTTGTATCTAGGGTATTTAATATCGTTGCATAAAACACACCTTTTTAACACGCTTTTATTAGGTCGACTTGTATGTAACTATGGAATAAAATCTAAGAATTCAGATTCTTACACGCACTTCTAATTCTTGTATCATCATGAAACTTGGCAATTATCTGTAGATTAGATGACAATACAAATATTATGGCTACCGTAATATTTGTATTGTATCTAATCTACATATAATTGGTACCATCGAGCTGGTCTGATGATGGGTCTCATGGAACCTTGGACTGCCTACTAGTAAATATATCGAGTTTGGGCTCATTAGATTCGTCCATTCATTTATCCTGATGACTGATAAAGAGTAAAATATATTAATAGTTTAAAAAAAAAACACTCTTTCATTTACTGCACTAAAAAGCCAAAAATAATCAAAATATACTCTATGTTTTAGTTTAGTGCAGTAAATAAAAGCGTGTTTTTAGTGTTTTTTTAAATTATTAATTCTTATTTATTGATACCCACGTAGAGTGTACCAGTTACTGACGCGTACGTGGAGGTACAGTCGCGGCACGCGCAGGTGTACTGGTGCGAGCTGCACGTGCAGGCGCACTTCAGTGGCCTGCGGTACTTCATGTTCCACTGGCCTAAGTTTGCCGCACTTATAGGTAACTAGCAAACCAGTGAACCAAATGTTCACCAAAACTTGATTTAAAAAAAAAATGTATTTAATTAATTGAGAACTTCGGAGATTTTGTGTGGTTTCGTTTGAAATTCGTGATTTCTCGAAAACCGGAAGTGCTACGTTACTCAAATCCGGTTTGTAGTCTTATCAGACTATTCTTAACTTATGACTTAATCATTCTTTTTATCTATCTCTTACGGTTTGGCCGCTGAAACAGCACCACGGACGGACGGACGGACTTGTCTATTAGATAAGAGATAATAATAATCATTTACTCATAACCCAACATTTCACATTTTAATTAACTATTAGTCTAACGAAAAGCTCAAGAAATGGACCCCTTACCCAGAAACTAGTAAAAACTTTATTATCAGGGTTAGTGATTCCTCGGTCAATACTTTGCAAAATTGTATTTTAAATTTAATACGGGTGATTAAGTTTGACTACAGCTATTGTGATGAGTAATCAACTGAATGAAACAAAAACAATTTAACAGTCAGAACTGAATGCTTTATTATTATCATCATCATCAGCCTATTAATGTCCCCACTTCTGAGGCACAGACCTTCGCTATGGCTGAAATAGGGAGATTGGACCGTGACCCACCACGCGGGCCCAGTACGGATTGCTGGGTGCTGACGACTGCAAATGCAGCCGGGAACCGACAGCTTAACGTGCCTTCCGAAGCATGGAGGAGCGAGAGATAATAAAGTTTTGGTCACCCATCTAATGACCGACCACTGCGAAAGTTGCTTAACTTAACGATCGCAGCCCAACGCGCTAACTACTTGCTCCATCGCGCTCCGCAAGTTATTATATAATATCTTTATTTCAGTAGTCCGAGCAGTCAACTTTAAGACTCAACATACACTGGCGCAAAGTTTAAGCGTCGGGTCGCTTAATGTTTTTCGCCTTAGGAATACCTTAATAGTGGGAAAATAGAGATGAATTTGCTACAGGCGAAAAGTGTCGCGTCGCTAAATCGTAAACGTACCGCCATCGTCAAATTTTTCTATGAAAGGCCAGTTTGTTCTTACTTACCTGCTTAACGGATCTATCAAGGTTCGTGCTTGGGGTACAGATAACACTGATCTATATGTTAGTACAAAATATAACTTTTAACTTAGTATTATAGTGCCGCCAACGAAAGAATGCGATTCTGACAGGTCGTGTCAGTTCCTTATGGCGACAGAATAAAGTACAGTTTAGATCTAATAAAAAGGAGGTTCGAAAATAAACTCTAATGCTATCACAGGCACGTTAAGCCGTTGGTCCCGGTTGCATCTGCACTGGGCCCGCGTGGTGGGTCATGGCCCAATCTCCCTATTCTATCCATAGGGAAGGCCTGTGCCCCCGCAGTGGGGACATTAATAGGCTGATGATGATGATGACTTAGGACCCTTGTGTATCCTGCAAACCTTATATTCTTCTGTCTATCCAGGTATAAGCACTAACCTCTTCTTCGTATCACTGGTCTTCATACTGAGCTGGTATCACCTGCAAGATGGACTGCCTGAATTTGTCAAGGTGAGCCAATCAATATTCGATTTTATTGCAAGACGATAAGGTTGAGTAATGGGATAAATTAGTTGTACAAATAACTAATTTATCCCATTACTTGCCGACACGAATTTGTCTTTGCTTTTGAGATACCGGCACTTCACTTGGCTATTTGTGTTTGGTATTTGTGAACTTGACATCAGTCTGTCCTTTTCATTTCTTATAAAGCATGATAAGGACAGACTGTTGTTTAGTTAACGTATATTTAATACAAATAGTCAACTATTTGTATTAGATATTCGTATTTGTCATATTGTCTGGCATGAAAAAAATGAGGATACGTGCTAAAATTATAATAATTTGATAGGTAGTATAAAAAAATATTTTTCTTTGTTGTATTTTGTTGAATTTATTACAAAACTTCATTGTTTTATTAATGGAATTTATGTTTTCAGACCAAATTCAAAGTTGCAGTGAAATCTGAAGAAGAAGAAGAAACAAAAAAGTTTGTTGGAAAAGTGAAACTTGAACTTGAAAGAGAAGGTAAGTTGAATGGAAGGTAGCAAAGCGATAATACTGTATGTGCGAGTCAGTGGTTTTCAAAGTTATTTTATCTTTATTCCACTTAAAAAATAATTATTTCCCAGCGCCCTCAAAATTTAATTGACATTATGAATATCGCAAAACTAAGAAACTGTGATAAATTATAATTTGAGGTGCTGGCGAACAAAACGGTATAATTACGCATCTGGTCAAACTACTTTTTTTACAATCCAGAATTTTCGGGCTCGTCGAATTTGAATCTCAAAAAATATAAATCTTAAAGAAAAGTTGTACAAGAAAAAAATCCTAATCCGCACTGGGCCAATTTCAAATGTTTAATACTTGAAAAAATCATTTGACATTGTGGGTTATCTACAATCCGGAGAGATGGCGCTGCCTTGCAGCTTAAGGCTAGGAAAATTTCGACGCGGCCATCAGGGCCGTGGTAGCATGATTGGTCAGTGCATTCGTCCGGATTGCGAAGGGTGCGCGGTCGAGTCCCGTCCGCTGCCTGGACCGCGTGGTTTTTTTTTCTAGTAAAACTTTTCTTTAGATTTAAACATCTAGCAGTTAAATGCTTAAGAAAAACATAAATCTAAAAGAATTTTAAATTAAAACCTCCTAAAACAGTGTTAGAATTACTAAATTTGTTAATTAAAAACCATGGCATAAGTTCACTGGAGGTATGTCAGTCAGTTTTATACAGCTCCTGTAAAATTTAATTTTATGTAATCATACCGTTTTGTTCGCCAGCTCCTCATATGAAATCAAATTCATTTTTCATTTTGAAAAAAATCCCAATATGCCTAAAAGTACCGTCTGGGCCATTTTTTAAAATAAATTTTGAGCTTTCGAAAGTGACGACTAACTTTGACAGTTATTAAAGTTACAAACGAGGAAGAACACATTGCCATGATAACTTAGATTAAAACAAAAAGGGTAGATACGGTAAGCTCATACTAGCATCAAATAAAATATGATCCGACTCAACTACATAAGCAACTCACACACGCACACGTCTGTATAAACATTCAATCGAGCGAGCGAGACAGAACTATACGTTTCAACGCAGAGCGAGCGAAACAGCAAGCCCGCTTCAGAGTTCGTACGGCTGAGCTGTTTTGTTGTCCTTTTCTTGACAACAAAATGGCGATTACGTAAATAACTTTCACGACAAACCGTGATTTTTGAGAAAAAATGTTTTTAGTTTTACGAATGAAAAGTGTTGCCGAGGCATTTGATATTGAACTATTTGTGTTCTTTATAAAAGCATCGAAGGCATTGTTTCATCTTTATAACACAGAATATACGCAATATTGTTGTATTGAGTGCACATGCAGCGTGTTTGAATGTCCAATTGTGACTACAGGGAATTGTGATCATGCACCACAATTTAGGCGGATCACTTTTGAGCCGCGAGTGCCGTATCTTCCCTTTTTGTTTTAATCTAAGTATGATAACCAGAAATTAAAAAATAGATTTTTAACAATTCTCTTGTCCATTATAGTTGTTTATTTATATACAGGGTGAAATTGAATGTTTCTATGAAACTGCGTGAGATTGTTGGGTTACGTGTATAGAGTATACCTGAATTTTTCGGATTTTTTAAAATTATTTTTTTCGTTTTTTATTTTTTTTTATAATTATTTTTAAACACGTATTCATAGTAAGTGAAATATAACAAATAAATAAGCACTACTAAAATAAACGAAAAATAATTGATGTGGCCAGGCGAGGCCGACGCCGGGGGCAACGACCGCGCGCGCACAGCTGACGCGGCGCGTACCTATCTACAGTACAGTGAGACTACGACCTTGAGATACTGTGTTCATACTAAACAGCATCTCAAGATCGCTCTCAGAGTTGAGATCGTTCTATTCATACGGGCCTTAGATGTCATATTACAATGACAAAATTTAAATAAAGAACAAGTGTTATCTTCTCATTAGCAGAGAAAAATATTATTGCAGTTTAATACTTGGGTCAGAAAGAAATTTATAACTAGGTATTAGACAGTACTTACGAGACCGGCGATGTAGGTAGGTACTACGAGACCGGCGATGTAGGTAAGTACAACGAGGAACATATTCATTTTTTTCACTAGAACTTTTTATCAAATCAATCACACTGGTAGTACACTAATTAGTTGTTTCGAATCAAAAAGTATTTACGCTAGCAAAAAAAGAGACTAAAATTATTATTTGCAAAATTGTTGCACTATACCACCATTTTGCTGCAAACAAAGGTAGGCACGTTTGCGGACGTCCGCAAACGTGCCTACCTTTGTTTGCAGCAAAATGGTTTACACTGGGGACACTTTAAAAAAGGTAGAAAGACACGTGTCTTTCTACCTTTTTTAAAGTGTCCCTGTCACTTCTCACTGCACAAAATGCAACTTCTATGCGTCTTTTTAGTTCCTCGTTATCACTAATGTCGTGTCCGGTTTGGCCGTATACGAGGTCTTTAATACGACCCCACAAAAAAAAATCCATTGGTGTTAGATCGGGAGAACGAGCGGGCCACGGCACTGGTCCCCCACGACCGATCCACCTTGTGCCATACGTATCACTCAAGTAGTCCCGCACCCGCTGAGAGTAATGGGCGGGAGCCCCATCATGCTGAAAATACATCCCTCTATGGTAAGACAAAGGGATCTGTTCCAGCATGTTCTCGACTTGGTTCTGCAGCAAGTCTAGATAATTGTCCGTATTTAAGCGGTCTAAAAACACTGGCCCGAGAAGTTGGTCTCCTAAGATTCCCGCCCACACGTTCACACTGAAGCGTCGTTGGAAGTGTGAGGGTCTGACTTGACGCGGGTTCACGTCACTCCAAAAGTGGGAGTTGTGAATGTTAAACATTCCAACTCGGGTGAATGTAGATTCATCTGTCCACAAAATCTGACGGCGCTCTTCGCGTAGCCACGTGCAGAACTGCAGCCGAGCTGGTAAATCTGGTGGCGCCAACTCTTGCACTTTGGTCAGATGATAAGGATAGCTGGGACTGCCTTCCTCTTCGTGTAAAAGCCGCCACACGTAATATTGGCTTACACCAAATACGGCTGCGGCATCTCTGGTGCTTGCCATTGGATGCTGACGGAAGAAAACCGGAATTTCTTCTTCCAAATCGCTATAAATACGAGGTCGTCCAGAGTCAGTCGCCGATGCGTTGAAGAGTCCAGTTTCGCGGAATCTGTATACGGCGTTGAGTATGGTTTGCGGACACACTCGTAAACCAAACCTATCTTCGTAAAGCCTTGCGGCTCTACTGAGCACTTCGTCACACTCGCGATAGCAGTACACCATTTCTAAATATTCTTGGTTCGTATACCGAGGCATAATGAAATTATCACAGTGTTTGTCACTAAGTCAAAAGATGCGCACGCGCGATTGATATACTTGCGACTGCTCTTTGCATGCATTGCAATCAAAGCAAAGCACCGCGCGCGGGGAAGAGGGGAGGTGGGCGGGCGAGCGTCGGCGTACATAAAAGGCAGGATTTTTTAAGGTGCTTTCACATAATCATGCCGAAATAGACCGCGCCGTACTACTTACTAAGACTAAGACTAAAGTAAAGCCTTGTATTTCTATAGTCAAACATTTACAAAAAAAACTACCGTTAATATTTGTTACTGCCTCAGTAAGGCACCTCGCGCACTAGGCCACGACCATGACCAGTCGTGGCCGTAGCCGTCACCACAACCTTGATCGCAGAAGCTACGGTTGGGCTGCGGACAAGTTTGTGGCAACGACCACGACTGGTCGTAAAGCGACCATATTACTGGTCGTTTCTTTATTTCATTAATAAATAACTCTTTCAAAGCTCATTACAGAAAAATATCTTCGTCCTATAGAGTTGCGGAACGATACGAAGCGTGCTCTTTCACGAACTATCAGCATGACACTGAGAATGGCTGAAGCGACCAGGCCGCATTTGCGACCGCAGATCTAGAGCGCGAGCGCTCATAGCCGGCTATACGGAAGATAGTCGCAACGACCAGTCGTACTGGCCCGCACTAGATCTGCGACAGCGAATGCGGTCAATCTCAGTGTCAAGGTCATGCGGACAGTTCGTGAATGAACATGTTTCATACCGTTCTTCGACTGAATATGACGACGTTTTTTTCTACAATAAGTTTTGATACAGAGTTATTAATTAATGAAATAAACGACCAGCAATATGGTAGCGTCACGACCAGTCGTGGTCGTGGCCGCAGACCGCAGCCGCAGCCCAACCGCCTCTGCGACCAAGGTTGCGGCCACGTCCACAACTGATCGTGGCCGCGGTCGTCTAGTGCGCGAAGTGCCTTAATCGAACAACATGATAAACATTTAACATTTCAAAATTATAAAGTTGTTGTATCCACAACAATTCATTCATTTGTTGATAAAAATGTTGGAGAACTAGCGTCAGATTGTTCAATACATCGCTATTGCTGATTTAGTGTATTCGCACCTTTAGCGAAACTTTGGCGAATCGTGCTGTTTCTTTCTTCTCTGAAACGAAAACGCGCACTATAAACGAAAACGGATTCACATCATCAAAGACGCCGCGACCGGCGCCAGCGCTGCACTTGTCTTGCCGGCGGGCGCGCGGGCGGCGCGTCGCCCGACCGTGCTTGCCGCAAAACAACATATTATGTGTGTGTGTGTGTGTGTGTGTGTGTGTGTGTGTGTGTGTGTGTGTGTGTGTGTGTGTGTGTGACTGTGATTAAATGTGTTCGGAATTTCATGACGTGGGCAAATCAGTCACGAAGAGTTATTTCCTTCACTAAGCTCGTAAGTTAAACCGATTTTTCGCCGTTTGCTCAAGTTTTAATTAAACGAGGCAACTAACATCAACAATAAAAAAGAAGATCTTACACTAACAGACAGTCTTTACCGATTTAAAATCGGGACAGTCATATTAACTTTATAGAATTTTTAATTGCTCTAACAGAAGATTTATTTTATTGATTAATTACCTGTGCTTTATGAAATAATATTCAAAGGTATTGTGTATCAGTGAATAAATAATTATAATATAGCATATAAGACTATTTTATTGTAATGTTTTTAAATAGTGTGGAATCAAAGCGGATAGTAGGTAAGCGCCGAGTCAACTGTGCGTGTCGTAGGTACCTACATAGGCGGCCGCCGGCGCCGGTCGTCGTCCCCGGCCGGGGCTGATCTGGACTGGAGGCATTCATTAAGTTTCCGTTTTTTTAGGAGTGCTTATTTTAAGTGGTTTTACAACTTCTATGTAGACGTGTTTAAAATGAATAATTACTCATAAGGAAGAAATGACAAATAATAACCAAATAAAAAAATAAAACACGTAAAAAATAATTTTAAAAAATCCGAAAAAAATCAGGCATACTCTGTACACGTAACCCACCAATCTCACGAAGTTTCATTGAAACATTCAATTTCACCCTATATAAGTAAATGATTTTTTTTACTCTGTTTACAGATTCGTCGATGTTTCTCGACGACGAAGATTTTCGTGACGAAAGTCTCATCGTAGAGGAGATCCAGAAGATGGAAGAACCAAAACCAAAGGATATTTAATGAGAACAGATAAAATTAAGATATCATTAATTATAAAGTGTTAGCAATCTGTGGTGATATGAAAATGACTGGTAGAATTTAAATGAGATATGTATAGGTAGGACTCTGTTTTAGGTTGCTTCAAGTCTTTTTTTATAGTATAGAAGTGTAGTTATGTGCAGTGCACCTACAATGCGAAGAGATGGCGCTGCCTTGCAGCTTCAGAGAGGCTAGAAAGAATTCGGCACGGCCATCAGGGCCGCGGTAGCATAATTGATCAGTGCATTCACCCGGATAGCGAAGGTTGCGGGTTTTTTAGATTTAAACATCGAACAGTTAAATGCTTAAAATTATAACATTGTCAAGTTGAAAAACCTTGCATCGATTAACAAAAGAGATAAAGCGAGAGATTAACCCAGAAAAAAAATATATACAATAAAAACTTCTACTTAACCCAGCTACCAGGCCGTTTATCGAACTAAGCACGTTTTTAAGTATTGACAATATTGGGACCGGTTTAAGGATAAAAAAAAATAAAAATCTAGAACTTTAACATTAGACATAACAAAATTCAGTTGCAATACTTGCAATGTGTAATATGCTAGTAAAAAAAATGTTTTTGAAGTTATACTTCTTTAGGCGCGTTATAAAAAAATTATGAGAGTGAAATTTTAAGATGCGCGCGCATCATGTAACACAAAAAATTAACACCATGAAACACGTACAACAAACATCGGGAAAAGTTACGAGTTTTGAATTTAGAACAGAGACTGTTTTCATATCTATATATATAAAAATGAAACCCGTTTTCCGTTGTCACGACATAACATGAAAACGGCTTGACCGATTTGGCTGTTTTTTTTTGTAGTTTTCTAATACTCTGTACAAGGTTCTTACGGAAAAAAATATAAAGAAAATCCCAAGGGGATAAAATACGGAATGAAAGTTTGTATGAAACTTTATCAATTTTAAACCGATCGGGCTGAGACTTTGCATGCAGGTATAAGAAGAATCATAGATGAATGTCATTGTGTATAATACAAGCCTGAGAACAAAAACTGTAGTCTACACTTCAGCTCTACACCGAAGCGAAGCGAGGGCGGGCCGCTAGTTTATAATATTTATCCACATGTTTCTAGTTTGTATATTCGGAATACGTGTTTGAGTTTCATACAAGTGCAAATCACATATGTTCTAATAAATTATATTCAGTAGCGATTTTAATTGAATATTTTGATTATTTATTTATTTTTTCAAATTAAAACTGAACTTTATTGACTGTGTCCTTTTCCAGACTTTTTATTAATTTATTGTAATTAATTATTTGCATGCAATTAAAAACTAATTTTAAACGATGCCAAAGAAGGATAACTTCTCACGCGCCTACATAAGTACACGCACCCATTTTTTTTATTGAGAATATATATATGTACCAAGTTTGTAAACACATCAAAGAAACCAAAACATTAGATTTATTAAATTTTATAAAATTCTTACTGCATTGCATATTTTTTAACTTTTATCGCGGAATAAGGGTGTTTCAAACATAACTGTAACTTTTGTATTTTGCCTATAGGTATGTATTTGTACATTTTTGTGCCTTTCATGTAACTTAATAATGACTGTAAGTCACACATTCCATGACAAATTTGTTTTTATTACACTTAATATAGTAATTATTGTTGTTTTTCCTAAATGTTCCTATTTAAAAAAATACGAAAATCTATATGCTTTGTAAGCTAAAACAGTAAAAAAAACGATCACTTTTAATTTTTGTTAAGTTGAAATGATATTTTAATTTATTAATTAATAGTTGTTTGTTATGCTGTAGTTATGAAAAATACTTTTAATAAATGGATTATTATGTTTTAATAATGAATTTGTTTTAATTGTTGATGACCCGATTTTATAGCTGTTGTACTGCTCGATAAATATGTATGTAGAAAAGAAAATATTTTACATATTTAAAACTTCTTTACGCACGCTTGACTTGAGGAGTAAAGTGGCGAATGCGTTACGCGTTACGATTAGTGTGACCGGTGACTCATTGGTAAACAATGAACAATACCCGTCACAAAATACATGAATCTAGTGCTAACTTACATGTTTACTTGATGTTAACTATTGAAATAGGGTTTTTAATTGATTACACGACGTAATTTATAAATAACAATTTGATATTTTACTGTTAATTCTACGCCATTGAAATCCGCCGTATGTTTATTTTTTTCTATCAACAAATCTTCAGGTTAAATTTGGGATTTTTTAAAAATATGTACCTAATTCTAGTTTCATTTCAATAAAAAAAGGCAATGGTCAGAGATAACGACCAGGTGCGGCGAGGGCTTTCACCCTTATTTGTTGTAGAAGTTGCTCCCGTTCGCACGAAGCGATTTGCTGCCGCTTTCATTATGCGAACGGCTAGGCAGTGGAACTCCTTGCCGAGGTACGTTTACCCGGACCAATATAATCTGGACATCTTCAAGGCCAGAGTGGACAGGCATTTTCTAGGCAGGCGTGTACCATCCTAGGCCTCATCATCGCTTTTCATCAGGCGATATTGGTGTCAAACGCCTTGCCTATTCAGCATTATAAAAAAAGGTAAGCTTTAGAGAATGAACAGAGTCAATAGCCCACGTCCTACTACGCTGTTTATCTGTGCTTAAACTATTTTTATTCGAGAAATATTTTGAGAGCAGCTTATTTGACATTTATTTTCCTGTAAAAATCTTGTAAATAAATAAAAGAAAGTGAAAGGCTTATTATTAGAGAAATATTTAATATCACTTCTATCATACTTACCTTGTTATTGATATCATATATTAGTCGGGTTTTATGGTTGAAGGTACAGCGGTTAAAATTTATCTTCTGTACCATCAAAGGTACACAGGAAAATAAGCTGCATTTTGTATCTTTTTGCCCAATTAACATAAAAAGGCTAAGTATGAAATAATTAGAAAAAAATGGTATTTTAAATCTTTATTCACAGATATAATTGTGTTACATCATGTCTCTTATGTATGTATGAGCAATATTCTATTTATACAACCTTTTTCCTACTATAATTAAAAAATAACCTCACAAAAAAGATGAAAATAATATAGTTATATGTATAAATATAATCATGTAAAAAATGAAGAAATGTCATTAATTCAGTTACATTATTTGATATTTATATATATTTTCAAAGAACACTGTCTCGAGTGGTATCTAACAAACATTACAGTAATAACGTCAAAAAATACCTGTATTTTCCGTATTATTAAAATTACAGTCAACAACAAAAGTGAATAACAAATAAAACTATTTCGCTTCTATGGAACAATCTAAGGACAGAATTTTGGATCTAGATTGGATAACAATAAATGTCGTATATATTTTTATCTCACACGTCCGATAGTTTTGTCCACATTTCCAGAACATCGCCATAATGTATTTTTTAGCGCTGGCATTTGGGTAATCTTACTTTTGATGTTGACTGTACAGTCGTTTACTCGACAGTTACAGTTTTGTTGTTGTTACCTTTTACACAATTTAGAAGTATTTTTTTTAATTTCTTGATTTATATTTTGATGAAAGAAAATGTATATGCTTATACATTTTTATCCCATCATCAATCTATCCGTTCCAGTCTCTAATACTGAAATTTACTTTTAGTCAATTAACAGTTTTTAACATAATATGTTTATGTAAACTGAGATTTTTATTTGCAAAATAAATAAATAAAAGTTATTCCATGTTTCAACCATATTTTTTACAGAAACATATCGACAGAGGCAGAGCTTGTCAAAGTCGTCAAAGGATGTTGTTATGTTGTGTTTACGAAACATTTGTCTTGCGATTTTTTTTCCTTCTCCTTGAAATTGACATAATTCCAGTAATAATATAGATAACCGCCTTCACAACATCATTCCATCTTTAGCAATTTAATGTACAAAGAATTGGATTATAGACGATCATTAATTTTAAGTCCCCCGCGGACTGAACGTAGAAAAATAATATTACATTATAATATTTATTTACAATTCATGAAACGCTTTTATAAATGGACAAAGTTTCGGATATGAGAACTGTTTAAAAGATAGTATTGTTAAGTTTTTATTAATAGTATGTATAATTAAATTTTTTTAGGCCTATGCACAGCAGTGGGCGTCGTACGGCTGACATGATGATGTATAATTTAATAGTTATATTTATCATGAAAATTACAAATATGTTGACAAGGCAATAGGGCCGAATTAAGATTGTCAGAATTCAAATATTAGAAGGGTCTGGCTTTTTAATGCCCTAAAAAACACAAATTTGATTTTAGATAATAAAAAAACCGACAAAACTTCTTGAAAAACCACTTCTATACTTACAAAAATTTTTGTACAATGTTTTTGCATAAATTTGGTATGTGGAGTTTTATTCTACACATAAAATAAGGATGCAAAATTACACCGAAGAAAGAAAATACAAGAGCTCGTTTGACGCGTCACATTTTGAACCTTACTGCACAAAATCGCATCGTAACAATCTGATCAACATATGAAATGTATTCCATTATACATAGTATATGATTGGCACTTCAGAAAAATCTTCAAAACTATCAAGAAATAAGACTCTATAGCTCATTACCACAAATTAACAAAAAACATGTAATGAATAGTTGTCTTACTTCAATAAAAAATCATGTGCGAAATAAGTTGTGCTTTGATTACAATTTTATTGTATTTGAATGAGATTGGAAATAGCAAAATAATACATAATAAGGTAGTTATTGTCCTTTGTTAATATTTGAATTATTGTAATACAAATGAAATTTAGATTTATCTTTACGACGTTGATTATATTAATTATAAAAAGAATTAAAAAGATATATTTTGCAAACAAATATATCTTTTTAATTTTTTCTATTTATTAATTTTCTTCTATTAAGTAACAAATGAGTAGCGCCCTGTGACTTAACTATTAAAAAAATAGGTACTTAAAAAGAGATTAATAAATGAAAATATAAGAACTCGTTAAAAGTACAATCACCCGCAACAGTGTTACCGTACCGCATTAGGTATTTATTTATTTCACCAGTTCACATAGCACCTATCAATTCATTCAATAATATTACGTACTAAAATAAGAAAAAAAAGTCAAAAACGACCCTATGCACCATTACTGATTTACAAAATAAGAAATAAACAGTCACTATGATCAATACTTCTATTTGTATTGTAAAAGTTATAAATAAAATATAGAATTATGTACACTTGCTTGGTGAAAGTGAAAATTGCACACTCAACACAACATAGTTATTAATAAACTACTAATGTCTTTTCATAGTTTTTGAGCTGACAATACTTAATGTTAGGAAAAGCAATTTTTACTAGCTTTATATAATTTTGTTTTTTTTTTATTGAATTTTCCTATATGTGAATGATATTGGATGAATTGTTAGAACAGGAAGAACTTAAAGAATTAAATAAGATTTTGGCCGTGTTCGATAAAGAATATTTATCAATATAAAGTATAAGTAATATTTTTACTAGGAATAAATATTACGTATTCATCATTTTCTTTACATTTATAAATCTTGCAGTTAAATACTTAAAAATACAATAACCAACCTTATTTTTTTCAATATGATGAATTCGTTTAGTATACAACACAGATAATATATTATGGTAAATGTACCTTTTTAAGTCAATAACAAAACGGAAATCACGTGATTTTTGGAACAATCAAGGAAATGAATTTGAAGTAATAGTATTAGTTGTCATCTGTAAGTCAATGATAAATTAATTCAGTATTTCAGCAATTATTATTGAAAATGTTTTTCTGGGATAATTTGTACCAAGGTACAAAATTGGTGAAATTTATAAATATCTCTGTTCAAATATAATAATATTAAGCCTAATATGTTGTGACAAATTAAAGGGTTTTAAAATATGTTGGTACAAGTAACTTTGAGTACATTCTTTTTCTTTCATTCTTTCTTTTGTTTTATTATTAATTCTACATTAATTTTAAAAGGAATGAAAACATATTAATATGATGATAGGTATCTATAATTAAAATTCACACAACCATAAATGTTACCTATATATTGTAATTTATATATATTTTTATTATCTGCCATTTTATATAATTACTTTTCCACAAATATGACAACTTAAAGCAGAATTTTATAAAAACAAACAGATTTAATCCCTTGGGATTGAAATAGTTGCTCTAAGCAAAGCATAGTCCGTATACGAAAATTACGTTTTGAAATTATTGAGATGGTAATATTTATTGAAACAAAAAAAAATAGAGATTTCCTGTTCATATAATTTTGAACGTTAATTTAATTTAGGCAGAGTTCAAAGCTATTAATCACTTATTAATTAAACAAATACATTAACTAACAGCCAATTAAAAACCTCCAAATTTTAAGAATATACTTGTAATGATGCGGATAAATTATCTCTCAGCTAATAATTTGAATAATGTTACTACTTACACATAACTTACAGATAATTTTTCTTTAATTTTGTAAAATTTTGGCCTCTTCAATAGTTTTTAATTTTTTTTATTATAGTTAATTTTTATTACATTTCACGTTTGTGTTCCTTAGAAAAAATTAAATAAGTTTATTTGCCATGGTAGTGACGTATGTAATGCACCTTATGAAATACCCCATTTTTCCGGGTAGTTTTCGCTTCAACTTGCGGTGGACGCGTAGCGTGACAGTTCTGGCAACACCATGCCGACGGCCTGGAAGAATTGGGCGATCTACCATCAGCGCGTTTACAACACCGTCCAATGGGAGGAACATGCGGGAACCAGGGATGGCAGGTCGGGAACAGGAAAAGGAGTTGAATCAGTATTTTGTTTTAAGGGAGGTAGGTAGGTTGTAGGTTGGGGAGCCCGATGGCTGAGGTTGCTAGCACATTCGGCTGCGACCGTTGAAGTTAAGCAATTTTCGCAATGGTCGGTCATTGGATGGGTGACCAAAAAAATCTTCTATCTCGAGTTCCTTGCTTCGGAAGTCACGTTAAGCCATTGGTCCCGGCTGCATCTGCTGTCGTTAGCACCCGCCAATCCGCACTGGGCCCGCGTGGTGGGTTCTGGCCCAATCTCCCTATTCCATCAATAGGGAAGGCCTGTACCCCAGCAGTGGGGACATTAATAGGCTGATGATGAGGTAGGTTGTAGCTGGGGAAGTAGCCTACACCTGGGCTAGGCTAAGAACTCGCGGTGTGCTTTTCTGTGACCGCAACTCACATAGAATGTTTTTTTGTTGTTGTATTGAGTGTGTATGCTGTTGGTCGCAGATGTCTTTACAGCGACACCGGGTTTATGAACGGCGAGATCCTAAGGGGACCTAAAGCCGAGAATTGGCGAGTGCCTCTAGAGGTATTCTAGGCGGATGGCATCTCCTCACGGGGGGAATCTCCTCTCCGTCTGGAGCCTCTAGACCACGCGAACCTGAGGGGTCGGCTTAACTAGAGGGCGTCTTTGAGACTCGGCTCTAGTTAGCCGTTGTCGCAAAACACATAAGCAAATTTTACGGCGCGATTTATGCCCGCAGACGCAGAGCGCGAGGGTGTTGGTGTGTGTGTGTAAAATTACACCGAAGAAAGAAAATACAAGAGCTCGTATGACGCGTCACATTTTGAACATTACTGCACAAAATCGCATCGTAATAATCTGATCAACATATGAAATGTATTCCATTATACATAGTATATGATTGGCACTTCAGAAAATTCTTCAAAACTATCAAGAAATAAGCAATATTTATTATTCTTTTGCGTGGAAAAGCCACTGTGATTTCTTAGCCTGACTGTGTAATGGGAGAACGTGGGAGATAAACAGGGAGAATTTTAATACAAGGCGATAAAATATAACTTATGTTAGTCAGGGATAACAAACGAATTTTTAATATCGGTCCAGCAGATTTTGAGTTTATTCTCTACAAACTTAAATATATAAACACATTTTTTTTCACAAATAACACAAAGTTTGTTAGGGATATTCCTGCAGTAAAACGTAGCCTATGTGTTAATCCAGGGTGTCAGCTAACTCCATACCAAATTTTATTAAAATCGCTTCAGCCGTTTAGACGTGAAGAAGTAACAAACATACACACTCACAAACTTTCGCCTTTATAATATTAGTGTGATATAACGATATGCCCTTCTTTTTGGCAGAATTATGCCAACTCTTAATGCCACTCAAGTTCCATTGTAAGAGCGAGACAAACGAAGAGTACACAGCGTAATACAGTAACATTGAAGGGGGCTTCAACGGCTACTTTTGCGTAGGGTTAGGAGCTTATAATACCCAGATTCTTTTAAAATTGTTTTAAAGAAAGCCTCAAAATAAATTCCAAGCAATACAAGAAATATAGTGAAAAACGATCAATCACGGCCGTATTTCAGCAAGTCGACATAATATGTTACCGACACATGTCAAAAAAATTAAAGGCATTTTGGTTACAATTGTCAATGGAGAAGACAAAAACGTTTTCTTTTTCTAAAAATGCCACGGCAACTACAGACAATTACAAGAATAATAGTATTTTTAATTGTTTTCTATCATTAGTAAAAAAAAATTGCTGAGAAAGTTAGGTTTGCAGTATGAATTAACAAGTATTTTTCCAAGGATACGTACATTTACGCAAAAATCTACCTTGTTGTTTTGAAATAGTTGTAAGAAAAAAACTTTCGGTGGGTGAGTGATTGGCTTGAAAACCACATAATTTCTTATGTGATTTTCGAGCCAACTTGATTCCTGAAAATCACATAAGAAATTATTAAAATTTTCGAGCCAATTTAATTCTTGATCCACCAAAAGCCTATTTTTCTTACAACCATTTCAAAACAACAATCCATAACGCGGGCCCAGTGCGGACTGCTAAATGATTAGCTTCTCACCTCATTCTCAGCCCGTTCTTCGTCGTTCTGGTACTGCACGTCCAGTTCGGAGCTATTAACGCTGTTCTCCCAATCCACTGAAGACTCACCGGATGACGCTTCTAGGTCCATATCAGCTGAGAATTTGAAAAGGTAACTAAAGTCACGTTCTTTACTTTTTGGGATGCACCAGAGGCAGATACTTACTGAGATTTTATACAAGATCAACGATGTTTTGCGTACTTCCGTAAAAAAAAATACTATTTTCATCAAAATCAATGGTATAGTAATGGGGAACTCAAGCAGGGATTTTTGGATTTACTCAAGCGCAGCAGAATAATATATTGGGGCAACCTTGCAGCTTGTAAAGTACTCCCACCATACAATAGCCCTCTATTTAAGGCCGAACGTCTAGGGCAGCAAGAACAAAATTTCCACGAACGGCCATAACTTTTGGTCTCGCCCAAATCGTTAGTCTTTTGAATAGAAGCTACAAGAGGGTTTATGTAACATCCCTTCTCAATGTCGGACGCACTCAATTTTTTTCCTATATTCTACTTCTTCGTACGGCCACCCCCATGCCGGCAGGCCTTTTGAAGTTTAGAGAAAGTTACATAACATACATAGGCAACAATAAATAAAAAGAAAATACGGATTTTACCAATAGCAAAGGGCTCTTGCCTCGGAGCCGGAGCAGCTGGGACATGCAGAGTTGCTACATCCACAGTCACTTCGTTGCCAGTGGCTAAATAGGACAAGATGGGAGAAGGAAGGAAGGAATTATAGCATGGTAAGGGTTATAAAGTTAAATTTAACTGCTAAATTTTTAATTTATTTGAAAAAACTTGTCCAATGTAGTAACAGAATAATTATCCGGAATCAAAACAATTATTCTTTTGATGATTGATTCAATAACAAACTAATTCATCACAGCTTTTCTTCAAATAAAGCTTAAAAAAATATTGTATTCAATAGGTAATATATTTGTAATACCTATATTTGATGCTTTGGCAACAAACAGTAGATAAATAAACTTTCCAATTGCCAATTAAAAAATACAATTTAATTATTATTGAAAAAAAGGAGAAATAAATAAATTCTACATTTTTGTTAAACGAATTACAATTCAATGTCATATAAATTTGGGTACTGCCAGACACTCACTACCACCCTCCATACATATTTGAACCGTTTCCTTTATCATCATTAAAAATAAATCACATGCAGTTTTATTGTAATTTCATCGCATAGAAAGAGTGCTGTCCCAATGTTTGAAAGAGAACTTTAATCACGCTAAATAAAATTTTATACGCGATTCTGGATGCATGATTAGGTGTATAAATAAAAATCAATAAAGTACAAAATACCTATAGCCATAGGGTCTGGATGGCGCGGTGCAGGCACGGCGGGTAACCTCAAAGCCGTGGCATTGATAGCTAGAGCTTGCGCCCCCGCGCCCGCCCCTAGGTCCAGCCCGGGCGTGTGCCGGCTGCTCGACCCTTGCGGGGACAACTCCGCCTCTGTGGTCGGCATCTCTTCCGAGTAGCGGACTAGGGGGTGTTCCTAAGTCAGAACATTAGTGTTGGTTAATGATAATATTCTACTACTACGGCATATCCTTAAAAGCTTGGTACTAACTGCCGTATTCGGATACGTCGAATTAATTTAATGCTTCATTAAGTCACTGCTCACGACGTGCGGCTATTGTGGTCGCAAAGAAAGTGACACTGACACCATAAACTTTAGTCGAACTAAAAGTTATTTCCTCAAAGCCGTGGCGTTAATAGCCATGGCCTGCGCCCCCGCGCCCGCCCCTAGGTCCAGTCCTGGGTTTCATGGTCCGGCTACTCGACGCTTGCGGGACAACTCCGCCTCTGTGATCGGCATCTCTACCGAGTAGCGGACTACGGAATGTTTTGAGTCGCCAGGATTTGTTTAATAATAAAACAATCATTTTAACGGTAAATCCTTAAAACCTTGGTACTAACAAATGTCGAATATTTCAAAAGTTACTTCATTCCATAGTTATCAAAAAAAAATGTGACAGCATTAACTTCACTAGTATGTACCTTAATTTCTAATGGCCGCAAGTCCTTTAGGAAAAGCTCCGAACCCTTGATAGACCCAATTTTTATAATTCGTAGTATAATATAAGATTAAGGTACCTACTTAATTAACATACCACAATCCCTGTAAACTTTCACATTTACATTTAATTTTGAATTTAATTTTATTTGAATTTAAATTCAATTCAATTTAAATAAAATTGAATAGAAAATAAATACATATTAAATAACTTACGGGATGAGATAGTTCACAGATGGGGTTCTGCCGCAAATCGATCATTTCAAGTGATGACAAGAAGCTGGTGTCGAAGTCTTCTGGCAGACATGAGATCTGCAAGAAAATATTTTATTTAGAAGAAAAAAACTTAGTCGATAATTACGTTCAAAATCATCGCGATTTTCTAATGCTTTTGTACTTATAATTGATTTATTCGATTTTAGCAAATGTCAGTCATGATCAGTTTTCCGCCGGGTCTAGGCATGGTTTCTACCTGAGCTAGTGGCAGCGAAATTTGGTCAAGAGCACGGTTTAAACGATTATACCGAGTACCGACCCCAAACCGTAGCTAGCGCCGCACATTGGGCCATAGGGTACTTAAAAAATCATGTGACGAATTTTGAAAAATAAATAGTACCATAATATTCAGCTACCTATTAGCTATAAAGAACATCAATAAATTTCCTTATGAGAATGTTATTTGATGAAATATGGTACCTAACATGATTTCTTTGTCTTTCCGTCGGCCTAGGCACGTCTTAGAGTACCCCGACGATGAAATCATCCGCGCCAACGCGCCTCCGACTCCTTCCACACAGGCCACAAACAAACACTACACAGCTGGCATACTTACACACTAGCTTAGCTTTAGACTGACACCGCACCCGTAGGATTAGAGTGCGAAGACCCGGTCTACACACGACAAACTATACCAGGTACAGGTACGTAGCTGGGCGTTTTTCCCCGCCCCCCACGACAACGACTAACTAGAGCCGAGGTCCGAGTCTCAAATATGCACTCTAGTTGAGCCGACCTAATCAGATTCGAGTGGTCTAGAGGCTCCAGCCGGAGATGAGACTCCCTCTGTGGGGAGATGACATCCGAATACCTCTAGAGAGACTCGCTAATTCTCGGCTTGAGGTCCCCTTAGGATCTCGCCGTCCCCAAACCCGGTGACGCTGTAAAGGTCATCTGCGACCAACAGCATACACACTTAAAAAACAAATCAGTCGGGCCGCGGCCCCCGAGCTACCATTACCCAGCTCGGAGGAAGATCTTCCCCTTTGGCCCTCCTACAATTCTATTCATCTTTGATTACATCAGGTATTTTGTAGATATTTTATTTCAAGAAGAATCAATCATTAATTGTTATAATATGTTAGTTATGACAGGGTTGCCAGCATCCTTACAAAATCGTTCAATTTTTAACCATGATTTAAAATTAATCGGAGATAAACAAAAAAATAAAAGTATCGGTTCATGTTATTATATAAAACAAGCTTTCAAATGATATATGTTTCGTCGCTGCCGGAAACCGAGTACCACTTTTGAAACATCTCCTTTAAATGTTAGTCTAGTCCATCTATACTTAACTTAAAACAGTTGGCAAAGATGGAATTATGTATATAGAATTATTAATGCAAACTGCCAAATATTTACCAAAAAAGAAAGGAAAATGTGAGTCTCTAATTAGCACCCATAGGAAATAAGTTTTTCTGATACACAGCCGCGGCGGCCGGTCATCGACTTGAGCGAGACGGGCCGATCGCTAATCAAGTAACGGCGGCCGTATCTCCGATAACCTATTCCCGTTTAGAGATACGACTATCTAAATATGATTGTATGCATTATTCGAAAACAGTCGCCGCTGCATAGAAAGAGAAACAAGAAAAGAATAAAACGATTGGCGTAAATACATACATACTAGGATGCAAAAACCGGTTTTTGCTATTTTCATTTAAAAAACCGGTTAAATCGGTGTTTTCTGTTTTTGGGTCTGTGTCAAAAAAGTCAATAAAACAGTTCCGAAGTCTGTACAGTACCCTTAGCACGAACCAAAATCGAATTCGTAACGTTTGCGAGACCGAAATGTCATTGTCAAATGTGTACTGATTTATAGTTCTCGTTACGTACTATGTGCCATTGCTGTTCTAAAGGCAGCGCCACAACGGTCGTAACGAGAATTAATAAATAATCCGTACACATTTAACGTGTATCTAGATCAAATTCAACTATTCCAATTGATAATGGATCGTGCTAAGGGAACAGTACTCCATGTGGGGAATAATTTGCGATTTGTAGAGCATAAGCCTTTGCTTAGAGGAGAAGTACTGCTTCGATCGTTTAAGAACTCCAAGCTTTTTAAAGGCCAGTTTGGCATTGCCCTCTTATTAGTTTCTATACTGGACGTCGCACGTGATATCAACACCTACTATCCCACATGGTGGTTATGTGGGGCTCTCCTCCCCAGAAAGGGGAGCCCTACCCACTAAAACCCCCGCGATGGCCGCCGTCATGCATTGTACGGGGCCTCAGGATCGAGTATCGCATCTGAGGACCCGCAGCCTTTGCTCCCCTGTTTCCACCAGGGGAGCCCTTCTCGAGGAGAACCTCCCCCATCCACCCTCCTACGACGACACCCCCCGGCCATGCAGGGGTGTGGTCACTCTCAGGTCACTTCCATGAGCACAAGCTCCGTCGTGCTCACCAGCGACCCGCGGCGGCGAATCAGGCCATTATCTGGCGCGACGCCAGATATGATGATGACTTTCCCAACGCTATTGGAATTATGTAGCGGGACTACTTGAAATTCTAGTGTTACAGCAAATAAGTTCTTTTTTGCAGTGAATGCGCAAACTTATGTCTTGCTAGTGTTGCACGAGACGGGGTTCTGACTTCCACATTCGGAGAATCGCTCAAAAGAATCGAATCAAAAGAAATCGCTCACTTCGAACATAAGCTTAGTCCGCAATTCCGAAACATCAGCTGCAAGGATGTTTGGGTGGCCGGAATACTGCGCGTCACACTTGCTGTTATCTGCATAGCAAATCATGCCGGGAACTAACAGCATGTCATTGATATGTAAGATGACCAGCGTCGGGGAGAGTACCGAACCTTATAGAACTCAAGCATTTATCATGGGTTCGGAAACACATTTTAATTTTTATGTCATGCTGAATAGGATGCGTAAAAAAATAGAACGCGCTAGTTTGTAATTTAACATTGCAGTCTAAAAATCTACAAATGGACAGGAGATATTCGTAAGCTTGAGCTGACCATAACAAAGATACAATGACAAGTGATCGATAATAACTGCATTAGTTATAAAACTGTGTCGCAGTTATTAACGCCCACCTCCAGAAATCAATTTTTGCTACAATAATCTTAATCCTAATTTAATATTAAAACAGAAATTAAATGCGTGTTTGTGTCTCATTTGTGTGTGTGTGTGTGCGTGTGTGTGTGTTTGTGGATGTGTGTGTGTGTGGGTGTGTGGGTGGGTGTGTGTGTGTGGCTGTGGGTGGCTGTATGTGTGTGAATGTGTGTTTGTTTACAGGAGAGGTAGGGTATTTCCAAAGACTAATGGCGCGATAACACTAGGTCGTTAGCCCGAATACGAAAGCCAATGGGATTCGGATAAACGGCTAAGTGTCAAGTGGACGGAGTCAAGTAGGTACGCCCGTATTCGCGTAGTTTTCGTTTTGGTTACGCGATGCCGTATTCCAGTGTAAATGTTGCTTTGGGTGCTCGAATTCGAGACATGTCTTTCGTGCACCCGAATACGAGCTAACGACCAAGTGTAATTGAGCCAATAGATCGAAATAGATTGGTAACGCATCGCAAGTGTATGCAGAAGTGTAAATGGGAGACAAAACGTCTTTTATTCCCGCTATTTTATTTCTTTTTATCACTGTTCTCCATACGGATGCCAAACGCAACTTTTTAAATTGTCTTATGCCATAACAAGCTACTTATAAAACGATAGAATTGAAACGGGTTTCCAATGCCCTTGATTTTTCACCACAGAATATGCCATCAAAATATGACACGCGCGGTTTTCATACCATGCGCCGTCTACTTAATCTAGGTTTGGGGGAATTCGCTGCCCCTTGATGTCTACACCCCGAGTAATGCCCCTTCATTTTTTTCCAACTGCCCATTAACAGGGTAGGACCCAGGTAACGACTCGTATTAACCTCGATATAAATCAGCATGCAACTATGTCACGTTATATTTTAAAACCAATGAAAAATCGAAGTGTGTAAGTATGTAATTACTAAGTAGATAAGTACCTAATTTTATTTAACTATGTGTAATCAATGAAAATGAAGCAATAAAAACATTATCATATGACTAATGTTTTTTTCATCCCACCACCTCGGAAAGTGTAATTTTGCGCTTCGAAATCTGGCTGGAAAATTCTATTTTATTCGCTTGAGCGGCAAAGTAGATTTGAATTTAGAACATCACATATAATGAGTACTCAATATAATTGTAAATTCAAAACGTCATTAAACCTATTTAATGTAACCTCTATGGTGCCAAATTTATGATTAGAACTTTTTAAATTGTGAAAAAATTTAAATTTGGAACCTTCTTGGTTTCTTTGTTTTATTTGCGTGCTTCGCGCCATTCTAGTTTTTCACGTTTTATTGCTTAAATATTTTGTCATTATAAATTGTTTTCTTTTTCATTTTGTCATTTCCTCGCTGAGGTGGGATGAAAAGTTACGTATTGCACTCGAGTGGAAAGATTTTTCACCTTGTGCTCGTTTGTTTCCCTCGATGACGCTCAGGATTCTAATTTAGAATCACTCGCTGCGCTCGTGATTCAACTTTAGAATCCTTCGCTTGCTCGGTCATCCAAATCGAGCACGCGGTTAAAAAGGAACTTTCCACTCTTGTATAATAAATAACTATTATCTGTCTCTGCTCAATGCAAAAAAGTACCTAGCTCAATGTTTTGTTTTAACAATTATATGAGTGATATGATAAAAAGCGCAGGCCGTGCAGGCATATATGTGGTGCAGTTGCGGTAGGAACTAACTTATGCACCAAATTGTGTATTAATCATTAAATTACTAAGGAGATTTCTTAATAGATAAATATAAACTTTGCCCATTTATCTGGGTGGGATCGAACCGCGAATGATCAGCTCCATTCAAACTAATACATATTTGAAACAAAACTTTTGTCTCTCTATTACGGTTTCTAGACACAAACAGGATTCTGATTCAGGAAATTTCAGTAGCGAGATTAATGGGACCAACCAAAAAGAAGGCAGTAAAATAGGGAATGAATTTTTTTATAGAATATACTCATATGGGATACCAGGAACTTGGTTGAGTTCAATGCTAAGAAAACCCAGGTCTGCGCTTTCACGACAAAAACGTCGCCATTCCTTTCATGTCCTTCTCTTCAGGGCACAACACTGGAGCTAGAGAGCAGTATCACCATGCTCGGTATGGAAATACGCTGTGAAGTAAGAAACTTAAATCCAAAGAAGACGGCCACGACCACGACCAGTGGCCGCAACAACCCGATTAACTAAAGAAACCATACGAGCGTCGCGCACTTGGCCCCAACGGCCAACCTTAGTTAATCTGGCAGTTGCGGCCGCTGGTCATAGCAGTCTAGTGCACGAGGTGCCTAGAAAGGAAAAGTATATCGCACCGCACCGCACCGTCCAGTGTACGGTAAATAAAACGTCGGTTGTTAACAAGAGGTACAATTCTATGTCTTTCAAATGTGGTAACTCGCACTGCGACATTTCAGCTAATTGTAAGTCTCAAGCGCCAGCTTAAAACTACTTAAAATTGCGCCATGCGAGTGAGGCGTGTGGCCAGGGGCGTATTTACTCTAGAGCTAAAAGGGCCATGGCCCAGGCCGGCATGCTGCGAGGGGCGGTAGAAACCATTATAAAAGCATTTTAGCATAGATTTTGATTTGATTTTCTAATTCTCGTAAAAGCAAATCGTAAGTGGCTCGGGGCGCTAGAATTTAAAATGCATCGCTACGTGTGGCGCGCAGCGGTCTCGGGAGTCGCCGAGCGCCCGTGTGCTACGCACGTCCTGCACCGTAGGTAAAGCCACCTCTGGTAAAAGCATGCGAAACAAGCATTGAGCTTGCCTTATAGTAAGCGTCCGCCATAGCCTATAGACATTTGCGTTAATCGTTACCCGGAACCTATCCCCTACACCGTGGAGCCCTTTTTTAATGTCCTGGAACCTGGAAGATGCCGTACGAATTTCCACTCATCAGGAGAAGTGCGACGGAGATATCTGCGGATTCCACCCTACCCATTTCACCTAGCTTGGAAACTCGATGAACGGATTAGAGCTCTACCCAGTAAAAACCTGACAATACACCAGAGACGCACTATGAGGACCAGGGTCCCCCTAAAGCTGTTGGGAGTGTCGTCAGACTCCCGCACCTCTGTGGAGACCTAGAACTCTGATCATAAACAGAGACCGAACACCAGCGCAAGGTAGTCTTATTTCACTGTGATCTCCTGTACCCTTAGTACGAGTTTGAGCTCACGAAAACTATCATAGTTTTCGTAATTGTAAATTATGTTTCTATGTCTATTTTGGATAAAGTAACCAAATATACTTAAAATTTAAGAAGACGCAAATGATTTAATGATAGAATTTAAACACTGTTTAATTGTATTGAAACGAAAACAATAAAACAGGACCCTTAGTATGAGTGCAAGCTCACGAAAACTATCATAGTTTTCGTAATTGTAAAACTCGTACTAAGGGTACTGTAAGGTGCAACCTGCCAATTTTTTCACCAAGTTTTTAGACTAAACAGTGCATCTTTTGCTTGGCATGACTGGGTATGTGATTTGCATGGGTATCAAGGCATAGGTCTCTTGGTTAGTTCACATTATGTTTTATGATTATAACGGTCTCCCATATAATATGGAAAGGTGCATTATTCTAGATTTCATAAATATGGATATGGCATTAGTATATCAACTTAGGCTGCAGATAGCGATCCACTCCTCGATCACCCGGAGGCCGCGCGATCGCTGCGCAGTTAGTTACTCACAAAGAATGTGATGTGTCAACGTTAAGTCCTAGTTAATAAAACATAAATCTGCTATGACTGAACAGTTATTACGCGGCCACTGTCGCCGTACTGTCACCGCTCGGCAACCACGCTGTGACATTCTGTGTCATATAAACGCGCCCTTAGGATTCTATAAAATAAATTCTAAAACCAACATCAACAATATGAAAAAAATGAATTCTTAAATTAAGAATATTAAAAATAAAATTTATTGAATAATATAAAATAATTCAACACTCACTTGGTTGTTATTAAGCTGTAGGAACATCAGTTCAGAACAACGAAGCACTGACTCTGGGAACTCCCGAACCCTGTTGTTCCTGAGATTGCAATGTACTAAAGCTTCCATTCTATCCATTGTGTTTGGCAATGTTTCTATCAGGTTGTTCTCTAGAGTCAGCCACCTGTTATCAAAATGAACCCATGATTATTATTACTATTGTTACTGACAGGGCCGGATTTACAGGTGGGGCTGTGGCCCAGGGCCAACAAAAAAGGGCCCCCACAGCAGAGATAAAAAATAAAAAAAATTGACAGGTCACTAATGAGCAGGTGAGGGTTTGCAAAATGTAAGTGACCCAGGGTGCCAATTTAAACCCACCCCCACACCTTCATTGCCCTAGGGTCCGAATTTGACCTCACACACCTGAATCTGGCCCTGAGCCAGAACAAAAAAAATAAAAATAATTTGTGCAAATGCATTGGTCTGAATAAAAAATAGTGCTGATTCAAATTCACTGTAGTAGCTGCAAGGAGTTGAATTTATTCTAGTGAAAATATCATTTAATAGAAATCTTAACCAATTTGTTACTTAAAATAAAGTAAGTAATTGACAGTACAACTTTCTTTCGAATTTTAATTCTACATTAATCAGGCTAAATCTACAAATTACTGATGATGGTGTTTAAATATTGATTTGATAATTAAATATAAAATGAACGAAGCCCATCTCCATTGTTACCTATGTACCTTCTACATATAGTAAATACATATTAAATATGGTCTTTATATAAGATGAAAACAAGTTTTACCTTAATCTTGTCAGTTTGGTCATTTCGTCCGGAATGGTTTTAAGTTCATTTCCTCTGGCTCCAAAAGTATCTAGTTTTTCTAACTTGCCGATCTCCTTAGGGATCTCCTGCAAGCCTATCCTATTGCACCAAAAAGCTTCCAGATTCTCAAGCTCCCCAATCTCAGGTATTAGCACTTTCAAAGGATTATAACTTATGTTAAGATTTACGAGATTTTTCAAGTTTCCTATCTCTGGTGGTAGAAAATCTATGTTATTGTAGTCTAATGTTAAGGTCGTAAGGTTCACTAGTTGAGTTATTTGCACAGGAACATTAGTAATTTTGTTTCTATGTAAATACAGATGTTCAACTTCGAGGCAGGTGTAAAGGAGACTTGGTATTTCAGTTATTTCGTACGCGTTCAAACTCAAACGCGACCTTTTCTTGGCAATGGTCTGTTCTATAAGTGCTAATATGTGGTTCTCACGGATGAATTTTAATATTGCACTCATTTTGGTTCTATTTTTGGTTACATTGCAAAAAACTATTGCGTTTTGAGTATGAAGCAAAACATGACAGACTGACAGCCAGCTGTCCTGTCATAGCAAAACCAAACAATTTTGACAGCTTTTCTGAGTTGCCATTTTATTTTTGATTATCTACCGCAGTTTCTACTCTATTTACGGATAAATTATTGTATTATAATTTAAGATTCAAAGAAGGTTTTTGCTTATTTTTAGCTAGTAAAATAAATATTTTGAATACTCCTCTCATAATATCAATTACTTAACTTCATTATTCAGTTAAAGATTTGCAAGAATTTTATACTTGAAACGGAACGCGAGCACTAGGTATCGATTTTCCGCGGAAAATTAAGTGCGATGATTTTCTATACTACACAGTGAAAAAAAATAAACAAATCAGTTCTAAGAACTCTTTAGTAAACAAAATGTAACAAAAGAAAGATTGTGTCATCATTTCGTGGCAATAAAAACAAAATAGCGTTAGCTTTATCAAGATTAACAATATGTGCGCTAATATTTTGAAAATTATTTTTTTTACATTACTAATACAACAAAAATATTTTATAGTGGAATCTAGTGGTGAGCACTCAATTTCAAAGTTTTAAGACTGTTCTATTGTTATGTTGTTTATACTACTCCAGAAATAGTTTCTTTTACAGGTTTTAAACAAAACAGAAGTTCACATCATGTGCGTAGAGCGAATGTGGATGATTTTTTCAAAAACAAAATTCTCTCTTCCTATCGGTCATTTCAACCAATTTCTGTGAAATATCATAAAACTTCTTATCCCCGAACTGAAGACAGGCCGGACTATGATATTACGTCCTACGATTCAGAATACGGTGGTGTGGTTTCGAACTTTACGTCTTCCATTTACGATGATAACCCACCGTTGTACCCTAATCCAGAATTTGTTGCGCGGAGTAACCAAGGCAAGTTTCAAACAGAATACTGATAAGTTAAAATTATTTAGAAGATTTTGTATTAGGTGCATGAACTACATGTAATCAAAGTAACAATATTTGATAACCTCTGAGGTGTGAGTGGTATGTACGCTGCGTTTCAAGGTGTTGCCTACTTAGAGGTACCGGGTTCGCATCCCGGTGTGCTAAATTTTAATATTTGTATGACAAATATTTAAATTGAGCACACCGGGATTTTTCACAAAAAAAAAACGAAACAAGCATATTTTTTACCTCATGGGTGGTTTTATGTATTTTATTATTTTTTTACAGTCCTCAGTAAAACAGAAAGTAAACCGCCAGAATCTGAAGTCGATTTACCAGATGACTCGTTAGCAGACGCAGATCTTAAGGAGCACAATATAATTGACAGTGTTACGTATTTGTACGGATTTAACGGTTGCCATGGGGTTAGGAACGAATGGATGATATTGGTAAATAAATCAATTATGCATTTACACTTTGTAAACTCTTAAGAGTTAATATACCTTAGGGCAATGCTGTGTGAAATGTTTTACTATTTATACTGATAAAAAGTGCCCCACTTCTTTAACTCAAGTATTTTTTACAGATTTTCATAACATGTGGCATAGCAGTCATCATGTTGATATCAGCAGTTATGTGGCTCATGTGGAGTGAGTATGCTGCGGAGTTCCGCCGAAGCAGCAAGCTTTATCCGATCAATATAAACCTTTGCTGCTGCCTCATAGTCTGTACACTTATTTACATACAGGCTGTCGTGGTAAGTGGTTGAGATTTCCTATTTGTTAGCCACGACAATGAAGATTTATGTTAAGACTCCTATTTAATTTTTATCTTAGGGTGTATCATCGCCGTCACAATGTGAGCGCATAGCCCTTTTACTTCATTACACGCACGTATCCTGCGCTATGTGGATCGTAGCATTAGCAGCGGCAGTAGCGGAATATTGTGCATGTGATACACTATTACCATTGAAGTACAACTATCTTTTGGCCTATGGTATCCCAGCCTTGGTGGTTATGGTAAGAATAATGACATGCGTTGTTATGAATCTATTTTCTATTATACTAAAACTTAATAAAACTTTATTAACTTCCAGTTCAATTATGCATTATCAATGGAACATTACGAGATTAAACATTATTGCTGGATGTCTATTGAAAAGGGAATGGTAATGGGATTTATGGTACCAGCTATGATTCTGATAGTTATTAACACTGCAATCATTATTCTTGGTTTGCAAAGTGTCAATAAGAAACAAGCTGAAATGTTGACTGCAAAAATTCAAGAACTAGTTGACCACCACATTGCGAACTGGCCTAAAAATGAGCCAATAGAACCTATGATCGATAATACCAAAGGCAGCATTGATACCTTGGATATTTACACACCTGGAAGTAGCAGGAAGAACACAGATAGCTCAGATACGTTGGACAAGGAATATAATTTTAGCGAAGATGATTGCCAAAACGGTGAAGGTAATGAGGTAAGTCTCTGACTTTGTTATGATATTTTTAATAATATCATAATATACAACTCCGCAAAGGAAAGTTAAATTAACCCTCTAACAAACTTAAGCACACCTATCCACACAGTAATGACATCTTGCTTATTCATTCCAACTTTACCCGTTTTAGCCAACGCATGCTAAAACAATTCAAGACAAAGGAATACTTAACATGCTCTATATGGATAATCTTTCTTGGAAATGGAGCTGGAATACCGAAGGGAATGAGCTGAAGACGTACTTGAACTTATGTTTAGTTCTAGAACCGTTTTTCGCCATCAACTGGGTAATGGGTGTGGTAGCAATTGAAAATGCAGCGCATTGGTCTACCCCTACTATATACTTGATATTGGTCATGGCAATGGTAAGCACTAGAATATTGACGAAATCTTTATTTCTAAAATAAGAAGTACTTCTTAATAGAATTGTTCTGATTTTTTTTATTATTTTAAGCATGTAACTGCTTGATGTTTAAATCTAAAGAAAATATAAATAGGTGTGGGTTCGAGTCCCGTCTGCTGCCTGGTCCGCGTGGAATTTTTTCTAGTTATATTTTCTTTAGAATTCTTCTGATTGAAAATTACCAATTCGCAGTACGTCTACCTGACTGCTACAATATGCACCACGTTACCTATTGTTCGAAACAAGAACGTGCCAGCTCCTTGTTGCGAAGAAGTGATTACGGAACCGACACTCACGAGGACAAGGTAAATAAAATTGTTTATTATACCAACAATCGCTTTGCTTGCAAACGTGAAAGTAGTAATTTTCTTCAACACAAATAATTGCCAGCTTGGTTCGATATCCAACCCGGTTCACACGGATACAACTTACTACTTATGTATATTGTTTTTCCCTTTTACCATTTTTTCTTCGTACAAAATCTAAAACCCATTGTCACATGTACGAAGCATAGGTACCTTAAAAACTAAAGAAAGACCGATGTCACATAATTGTTTCTATTTTGTAGTTTCTAAAGATAATTACCACATAATATTAGTTTTTTAATTACATGGTAACACTAGGTATAATATCTACCATGGATACACTATTTATACAAAAGGCCACAGATCTTAAAATTACTAGTAAAGCCGTAGGGTGCGGCCAGAGTGCACTCAGATTCAGATTTCGAAAACAAGCGCGAGAAATAAACAGTGTAGTCTAAGCAGGTTGCTTGCTTTTTCTCGCGCTTTGTTTTCTGAGTCTGAATCTAAATCTGAATCAGGAGTGCAATCTGGCCGTACCCTTCGACTACACTGTTTATTTCTCGCGCTTGTTTTCAGAATCTGAATCTGACTCTGAATCTGAGTGCACTCTGGCCGCACCCTTATGGAGTAGATGAACATAACGTCCATAGACCTATAAATCGACTTTATGCAAAGTTCTGTTTCCGATATTTTGGTTCAGTTTAAAAACGGTACTCAGATCTTCGAGTTTAAGTTAAGGGATTTTTGTCATAATTCACCATTTCTAAGGGTTTCGTATAGGTACTACTACTAGATTATAATTAATTAACATTATTTACTTAGGACAACCGACAGCATCCCTCTACTGGATCCAGCTATTCAACAGCCAAACGTTACACCAGCTCCTGCAGATACCATCAGCACAATAAGTATTTAAACTACTCAAGATTATTGTGTATTGATGATACCGATTTCATATGAGTTAAATTTTTAACTCTGCGGTTTTGACGATTCTCAAGAAAGTATTTATACATTTTTTGGGAGCCACGTCGATCTAATCTTGTTATGCCTTTAACATCTTGTAGAATATAAGTGTGCATGCCTGAATTCTATAAATATGGGAAGAAGGTTCGAGTGCACGCCGGATGCACTTATTATGTGGAAAGAACAAAAATAATAATGAAAAAAAATCAAGAATTTATAGGCGGATTAAAAGATATCTTAGTTTAGTAGGTATTTAACTACCTACGTTTCTTTATGGCTATAAAATGTTAGCATTTTAATAAATTTTTCGACAGGCCTAGGGGTAAGTAAAGTTTTTGTCAGATTAATCTCAAATGTAAGAAACAAAGTACTTATAAGTAAGTAATGAAGATTTAAAACTGCGTTGCAAGCAATGTTCGTCGCAAAGTAAGAAGGATTATTGATTGTTGGAATTGATACATAAACTTGAATTATATCGCTAAGCGATTAATAGAATACTAATGTGAAGTGAATCTAATTTATTGGAATTTTCAAATTTTAAAAATTATGGTAAATCCATAACTTGCAAGTTTTATTGTGATAAGATGTACCAATATAAAATAGAAGTAAAGATAATTATATCTATTGATAAAAATTGGTAGAACCACCAGTTATGTCCTTACCTACCTATAACAGCATAAAGCAAGAATTTTAGTCGAACGAGATAACATAAATAAATATGTATGTTTTATAATCCAACTGGATTATTAACTAATAACAATGGACAAGAACTTAACTATTGCGTAATTGTAATGTAGTAAATGTTCTATTCAAAATGTGGTCCAGTTGTCGACTACGGCGGAAAAAAGCTTTTACGAGGTACAGCGTAGTCGATACACAGCTGCGAAATTCGAGAAATATACCTACTTACATATCTTCCACAATACAAAATAATACTTTTAAAAATATACTTCAATTGTGATTTTAAATCTAAGAATTAATAAAAAAAATGTAAATAGGAAATAAGTAGATGGAAACTTTTGTCTCTTTGACTGTACTGTAGAAATACCAATATAGTTTTTTAAATTATTGGGACGCTTTTATTGGCAAAGACGTAGCGTATTTTAAAAATAATGAACCTGCACAAAATACAAACGTTTCTAATTTTCTATATAAAATGAGAGTATTACTGTGAAAATAATATTGCATAAGTATATCAATTAGATATTACACGACTTTATTCTGTTGTCCTGTCTGGTTATTTGATATAAATTAAACAAAGAAATTAATAATGTTACTTGACCGTAAATAATGTCAGTCAAATGAGTAACTTTTTAAATGTTACTAGGTTAAGAGTTTCGTATCTAAGGCTAAGGGGGTCTGTCTGTCCGTTCGTTTGCGGGCGTTAAATAACAGCAGGAAGTATGTGGTATTGTGTCTCTATTTACATGTACTGTAACAGAAAGGCCAGTGTATTTCTATTGTCGCTTTTGGAAATTAAAGGGGCAGCAAACGCCATTTCTATAAATTACATACATACTTAAATTGGCAGTAGTACACAATTTGAAATAGATTCTAAGACATACCTATGTATTCGGTTCACTATAAAACTCATATTCACCAATACACAGAGCGTATTTCTAATAACATTTGGGTTATTTTTGTTTGTTAGTACAATAAAGAAACAAACAATTTACACCACCGTGCTTTTAAATTTCTCAAGAGAAAACGCTTTTACACAAGATTTTAATAGACAGTTGGACTTAATTACAATAAAGGTTCTCTAAAGTATTTATTCGATGATAATACTCATACATACATAACTCACAGTGTGATAGGAAGATTGTAAAGAAATTTTAATAAATGTTTTAAATGGAAAGGTTTTTTATTTTCATCCATTCGTAAATAAAGATTTTTCTATAGGACGGAAGATCAATGTGTATACTGCCAAAAAGTTGTGTTACAATAGTTTATCAACCTAACTACTGCTATCTTACAGGCATTTATATTTTCTAGTACGTGATATGTATTCGTATTAGAGCACATAAATGAACGTTGCAAAATCGCCTTTCCGCCATTGGAGGACTTTTATTGAAGTTTTAAAATAAATTTTGTTGGCGCCATCCATACACAATGCCTGTGCTAGGTTCCCCAAATCACCAATAGTTTCAGTTTCCCTAACTATTGTGTGTATGGTTACTTTATCAAAGGGAAGTTACATTTCATGCCTTTTATTTATTTTCATATTATTTCCGCCCGCGACATAGTTCTTTTTTGAGAATCCCTATAATTTTTTCTGGGATATAAAGAATATCCCGTCTCAATCCTTTACTTTTATGTGCCAACTGTTCAGCCGTTTTTGCGTTATTGAGTAACAAACTTCCAAACTTTTAATTTATAATATAAGTAGAATCAAGGGTACACTGATGCCGATTTTATTTAGAACATTGTAATTTGTTTTGTTCGTGATTCATCAATCAACCTAAAACTCCATATATCTGTTTGTCTACTGTAGGCAAAGGTCAATCTCTTGCAATTATTTGACCACTTGGCGTTAAATAGGCCCCTGAGCCCTAATCATAGTGAAATCATTTGTCCATAGGATTAATTGTATAACTTTTCTCTTTTAGGAGAAACCTTACATTTTTATTTGGAAAATAATTATTAATGTCACATTGAATGTATATCGCGGAGAGTTAAGTTAGACAAATAGTCCCACAAATAGGTAGGTATATTGGTAAAAATATAAATAAAACAATCGATGTTTACTTATACCGAGTGTATTTCAGAATATTGGGTATAAAATACTTATTCAACGTATGCCATCGCGTGGTACAAAGCTTACAACAACGTTAGCAAGTTGAAGTCTCAAACGAAAAATCTAGGCGATTGTATAAAACCGTACCATTTATATTACAATCTAGACAGTATAAAAAGCCGACCGGCGCTCGCTCTCCTGTATTTTTAAAATATTAAAAAAAAAACAAAACGCGACGCCATATTTAAATTTAGTTTGAGCTTAACTTACTCTTTAGTTATTTATTTTATAGGAAAAAAATATAGATATAATATTAGTATAATTTAAATTATTATATAAGAATCCCTTAATTGCTATGTCGTGTCGCCTCGATACAGTCTATATTCTGTACAGGAAGTGTCGACGACCGTTGTTGACTGAAGCTAAGGATTAAATGATACATGTAAGAACCTATGCGAATGTGCGGTGCGCACCGAACTCTCGAATTTGACTTCGCGCCACTAGCGAGCATAGACTAGCACAGGTTCCATATTCAAAAAATCTACAATACGTATAATATGCTGCAAACCTAAAAATATCAGGTTGTATACACCTTTTAAGAACTGAAAAAAACAGCTGATACGGAAACTTCTTAAAATCAAAGTGAAATTCTCTAAGAAGGTCGTATATACCTACTCTATTCAGAAAGAAAAAAAAAGACATTTTTAAAAAAAGAAAACATTGGGATCGTCAGAAATATCATTCGAAAAAGGTTTTATTTTTATCATTGTAATGTAAATAAATGCTGTTTGGTTTTGGAACGCTGTGCGATGTATAATCAATTCTTCGCTCGGGTATATAAAGGCCGGTGCGCTTCGGCGTTGTGTCGTAAATGCAGTCGGTTTACTGGCGGTCGGTGGCGCGGAGTTTCTCTTCCACCGCTTCTTGCGAGGCCTCCGACAGATCGGTCGCCTGTATGTACTTCTGTACGCCCACCAGGGACTTCTTCAACGCGTCGAATGAGCTGCAACAATGGTGATGTAGTGAGTGAAACCTTTGAAATCATTGAATAAAAATAGTCCTTTCTCGGCTGGGAATCGAACCCAGGCCGCCCGCATAGCAGGCGAGCTTTCTACCACTGAATCATCGATGCTTGTTGAGATAGGATGTGATTTCTTTAATTACAATTTAAAATGTAACGAGTCATGTAAAAAGAAACGAGAAATTTAGGGCCATGATAGAAAAGTTTCACTTTGAGATGGGTAAGGCACAGCTGATTTATCATTTCTCCTTACATGAGACTGCAGGCAGTGCCGTCTTTGACCTATTGGAGGCCCTGGCATATTAGGATAATGGGGCCCTATGACTTCCGTTTGGTGATTAAACAGGAACTAGGGACTTTGTATTTGATCTGAGGGGCCACCACACTTATCGCAAGAAAAGTTCAAGAAAGGCAAGGCATAGCTATTTTTCAAGACCACAGTATAATAACACTACCTTTTGGTGGAGTTGTGTTTCTGTCGGTGAGTAAAATTCCAGGGCTTCCAGAAGGAGGCCGTCCATTAATAACGTGAGGTTATTTTTTTTGCATTTTTGATCCCCCCCACCCCCTTGGCGATACATGGGGAGGTTTAAGAACCCCCCCCCCCCCCCGGAGTTCTAATGCTGAAAAATGTAAAAATATATCAGAACACCAACCTAGAGTACAACATCTTCTTTTTAACCTTGGCGGTGTCGGGGCACCACGACATTAGGAACAGTTTCTGTTTCTTGCTGGCCTCGGACGTGCCCTGACACTGGTGCGTGTACTCGAAGTCGAACAAGCCATATCTGGAAATAATTAAAAACCATTTAGACACATAACTTTTAGTTTGTCCAATGAGATTGCTGACTGCATGTGCTAGCCACTGCACCATCAAGCTAGAAGAATAATCGGTCATAAAAAATATGATTGACCAATATTAATATGAGGAGCGCGATGGCGCAGTGATAAGTGAGTCTGGGGGCCATTCGCCTAACGCAAATGCTTTGGAAAACGCTAACGCTTACGATTTCATTTTGTTATTTCTGACCGCCGAAGGTTTTCAAATACCTCACGCTCATTTTCTTTAATATTGTTATTACAATGTAAAAGAAAAAAATAGAGCGCAAGGCATTTCAAATCAGGCGGCTAGAAATAACAAAATAAAATCGTAAGCGTTAGCGTTTTCCAAAGCATTTCCGTTAGGCGAACGGCCCCCTGGTCTGCGACCGTAGAAGTTCGTAGTTAATTAATAAAGATCGTTCAAAATCATTTGTGCAAACGAAAAGGTGAGAATGGCTGGTATTATAGTTTAAAACTGCTGCATCAGTTATATTACATTTTGAACTCTACTACCACTTAACAAAGTTTTTATTATTATTATTAAAGTGTAAGGTGAGAATTCATATGCCTACCCAAAGATAAAATCAACTTTCAATAACGCTCATCGGGTGGGTTGCCAGAAATTTATTATCTCGAGTTTCGTCGTGCCTCGTAAGGCACTTAGGTCTTTAAGGTACAATTCCGAGACGCGCGGTACACACTGCGGCTAGCGACAGCGGTTGAGCGCAGTGTCGCCTGTGCTCGTAGTTGCTGCTTTCCAAGCACGGAGACATGCCGCGACTGCAAAATGCATAGAACCATACCTCTGTCTCTCTAGTCTGCGCTGCGATAGCTATGCGCCGCAGTGTCGCCGCGTTTGGAATCAATTTCATAGAGATTCAAAGAAACAAGTGGTGTCGCCGTAGTTTGCGGTCTGCAACCCGTCTCGTTAATTCCGGCTGCATCTGCAGTAGTCAGCACTCACCAATCCGCATTGAGTTTGCGTGGTGGTTCATAGCCCGTCATCGTTATTCCATCCACGGGAAAGGTCTGTGTCTCAGCAGGTACATCCATGGTTGGTAGGAAAATGCACGTGTTCAGCACACTAGCATTGCCCCCTCCAGGATTCGAAATCGGGACCGCTGGATTCGCAGTTAGGATTACTGATCGCTAGGCTACACGGGTCGTCCTATTCTCCTATACTACTTCTCCTTTCCTGTCCTATTTACGGCCAGTTATGCCGTAGGCATAAGCGAAAGTGAGTTCTTTGTATGTTTGTTACTCCGTCACGCAAAAACTACTAAACAGAATTGGTTAAAATGACATTATTACTATGTGCGTACCAAGCACATAGTAAAAATGTCAGGTTCCTGTGGAATTCTCAAAAAACTGTGGCCTTTCGATTTAATATGGTCATTATTGCTACACGAACAAAGAAATTTAGCGACTCTTTTCTTTGGAGAGGCGTGAGGAAGCATTTCTGTAGGCTAACAAGGTGAGATTGATTGGTGTGGCTGTCTTCGCGTCTGAGCTTTATCAGCACTTAACATCAGGTAAGGTAGTCATTTGCCTACCTGGCTTTATAAAAAAAAAACGAAAGTCAACTCGGACGAAGTAGGGGGCGGTCGCTAGTGTAATAATAAACCAACTATTAGTACCGGAATCAGTTTACCCTTACCTTTCACTTGTTGATTATTGAAACTTGCCGTTAGTAACCGACAATTTTGTTTAAATAAAGGTAAAAATACAGGTTACGTTGATCGAAAAAAAAATGCTATTTGTAAAAAACCGACAGTGACGATACCTACCTGATAAACGTACGGCATTTTAGATCTTAGATCATCGCCGCTTTAATCACACCCTACATTAGTAAGAACGATCTGACGTCATACTCAAGTACAGATAGTGTGACTAATAAGCTAAAACAAAACGTTGAATAGTAGATTTCACAGAATACCGTTAAGTAAGAGTTCTATAACCGAGACATTTTGAAATAAATTTCCATGAAGTTCGATAGCACTGAAAGACAAATGCTAACTGTAAAAAAAATCGTTCAAGTGCTATCAGACTCGCAAACGGAGGGTTCCGTGCCGTAATATCTAAACTAGATTAAGCAAAAAATAAAAAATCATCTTTAATACCAATTACTTGTACAGTAACACATATTCTGTGATAATTTCACTGGCCCAAGCCCGAATTTTGACAGCCGAAATAAAACCGGACGTAAAAACTAACTAACTGGCTGGATGATGCCGATACGATAACGACAAAATTTGTGCTGATGGTGGTTTAGTCATCAAACGCCAGATTCTATGAATGCCATTTATGTACTACAAACGAAAGTTTCTTCTTCTTTAACTCTCTCTACGTGGTATCTTTTGCCTTCCCAAAAATGGAAAATATAAAAAACAAAAAAAAAATACCTGCACTCCCCAGTGCCGCCCTTCTGCAGGTCCTCTAGGAACTGGTCGTACTCTGCGTTGCGCTCCCCGACCGTCTCCACGTCGATCTGCTTCTCATCCCGGATGTAGAACACCACGTAGCGGTGCTTCTTATCCTTCTTAATCTCTTCGTATGTGGTTTTGCACGCGTCCGACACTGTCACACCAGACGCCTGGAGCAAAACAAGGGAAATTTTCAGCAACGCCAAAAAGCATGCAACATTTAAAAATAATACACACAGCTATTCGTATTTGATTTATGTAGTTGTAATGAGTTGTAAACTTGACAGCAGACTCCCCTTTTCATTTCCCGACTGACCAATTATGCTACCACGACCTCAATGACCTTGTCGAATTTCTTTAAGCTTATCAAGGAGTTTTATTAATTATTCTTATACTCTAAGGAGCCTGAGAAAGATCAGCAAAGTCAAAAAGCACGCAACATTTAGGCCCGTATTACAGAATGTAAACTAAGTGCTGATCTTTACCGAGTACAGTTAGAAAGGGATGTCGCTATGTGCTTTGTATAGCGACATCCCTCTCTAAAGACTAGGTCAATCACTGAGAATCTTTCTGTAATACAGGCCTTAATATCATTCACATAGTTATACTTATTTGACAGCAGTTTCACCTTTTCATTCCCTATGACATATATACAGAGTATGACAAGGATATACTGTTCAAGTTTAGAAATAGCAAACACAAATAGCCATGTGAACTATGTGAAGTGCTAAGTGTAATGCTAAAAGTACATTAGCTAGTCGCTGGTGACCGCACCGCCAAGTAACCGCAACTGTACCAAACCCAAAACCGCAGTAGTTTGTTCGCTATATTGAGGTTGCTTGTTTTAAATCTATACTAATATTATAAACCTGAAGACTTAGTTTGGTTGAACTCGCTAATCTCAGGAACTACTGGTCTGTTTAAAAATAAACTTTGTGTTGGATTGTGAAATCTAGGAAGACTATATAACATAAGGATACGATTAATAGGAGCAGAGCACCAATGAAAAAGGTCTCAGAAACGGGGAAAAATGTTCTTATAGCACTGTGTATTCAAATTGTATAGTAGGTCATGGTGACAGCTTTGTACTATGAAGAGGAAATCCTTGTTTGCCACCTAAGTTGTATTAAGTGCGACTAAAAAGTGAGTTTATATCAGTAGTAATCCTACAAGTAGCTCACTATCAAACATTACGTTTTGGGTATAACCTTTACTTGCTTACGAGACGAATGACACTGTAATTTATTCTACCTAACGCCTGATAAGATATGAGCTATGCAGAGCTGATGTTTTGATTAGATATTTTTGTTTATTATTGATAAATTACGCGTTGCCAAAGTCTATATCTTGGGATTAGCAGGTATTAGAGTATTGGGAAGCAGCTCGATTTATGATCAATGGTGTTCTTTAACATCAGACGACGAATCTGATGCCTATGCGCCAATTAATTCCATAGAAAAGATCTAATGGCTTAATTTACCTAAAAACCCAACTGCTTTATTCTAAAAAGCGGAAAGTTAGTCTTGTTTTAAACCTAATGTTGTCTGTCTTCTTTTAAGCAAGAAAAAGTTAAATCTTCGTTTTGTAATAAAATGCTGATTATTTAGTATAATTTAAAAAATATATAGAAGTCGTATACACACCAAGTAGACTGGTTATATTTCGTTAAGGAAAATATTTAATTTCAAAGTTTTTTTTAGAACACAGAAATACAATAATACTTGTCATCGTTATAAGCTGCTTGTCAACAATCATCCAAGACCAACGCCAACAGTTCCCGAACTATTCTCTAATAAAATTCAACGTTGAACTAGAGAACGAGTAACTGACTAGAAGTCGATCTCGCTCATCGCCTAGCTTTCGATCTTTATTGTCAAACAATATCGTCATTAAGCAGAGTCGAATTTACAACAAGCATATGAAACACCTGATGGTAAGCGGCCACCTTAGCCTATAGAGGCTTGCCATAATAAAAATATCACTGGCGCCGTTGTCTATCCTGACCCAATCCCTTAACCCGTGGAGCCCTGGAACCTTAGTCACCGACAGAAACAACACCACCAAAAGGTACTCTCACTCAGTCTGAAGGCAAATGGCCACCACAACCTATAGATGCATGCGATATCTAAGGAGTATCCCTCCGCATGTACGTCGAAGATGCTACAGCGTTGTATTCAAGGATGTTTAGTTCACTTAGTTAAAGAATAGCGTCGCAACATCTTCGTTCGCCATGGAGACATCTAAAATAGCACGAAATTGAAATACACCGCCAGCTGCGTACGAGTGTATTAACGACGCAACAGCGCGCTCACACACATTTAGCGCTGACTGCTACGAATAATTTCTACAGAACGACCGACCCAAATAACGCTGTTTCGCGGATCTGTGTTAGTTAGGTTCGTCATAAATGCATTTTAACACGAATTGTTATTATAATACGTAATTAAATTAAACATTAATGTGACTCGAAAGCTTAATATTGCAAGAGAATTGTGCCAAAACTATATAAAAGGTTAAATAATGTTTTCATATTATGTATGTAGCAGACATTTTAATTAAAAAAAGTAATTAAAAAAAGGACTTAAAAAGAATAAACTTATTGTGTTAAAATTATAACCTGCGCAGACGAGGGGCTTTTGTCCGCGGACTTTCTAATCCGCCAAAATAGATAACTTACAACTGCATCGAGTACAAAGTCTTCCAAAAAACCGAGGACATCAAGATCGGACTGGACAAAAGTACGGGGATGTCCCCGAAAAAAAAAAATAGAACTTATATGACGGGACCCCGCCAGGTTTTTCAAATATAATGTGATATTATTTAATGCACGATTCAATCTATTTCATACTATCATCGAAAAATCTGCATTAAAAAAAATTTCAACTAAGAAAGTGATATTACCGCTATTTTAATTTCAAAATGACGGGACCACTAGGTAATTAATGAAAAACACACAGCGTAATCTTAAACTAAACACACCTTATTTTAATACGATTTAATGCGACTACGTGCGATTCATTACTATACTTTTAAAACTATAAGTTCGATACAAAAAAGTATTATACCAATTGTAAGAGCAATAAATAAATACACACATCAAAAGTGTCTAGGGATCAACATTTTTGCAATAACTTTTCTCCTGATTGATATTAATTAAAATTTTCTTTAAGGATTCATCAAATAAAGTGTTTTCGTTTGTCACAGTAACGATAAACCAAGTCACCTTTGCATTAATAAAGAAATTTGCCATTTTCCTAATAAAGGGATTTTTGACATTTGAACCACTAACACAAAAGTTCGAAAAAAAGACTGAAATAACAGTTTTCTCTAAAATTTTATTGGGTAACTTAAACAATTAATAATCCGTATTTCTACCGCGAACACTAACAACACAAGAACATCGGTTTGGCATACTCAAAATGAGTTCATCCAAATCACGCTGTGGAATGGCCGCCCATGTTCGTTGCAACAACAAAAAAAGGTCTTCTTGCGACTGGATACCCTCCATATTCGGCAGAGCTCTTCTCTGTAGCATATCCCATGCATGCTCAATCGGGTTCAAGTCTGGCGACTGAGCAGGCCAGGGCAGGACATTGATGTTAGCTGCGGCGAGAGTCTGTCTTACAACTCTTGCGGTGTGCGGTCGTGCATTATCATGCATTAACTGAAATAAGGGACCGATTTGCACTTGTAGAGGAACGATGACGTCTGATACAATCGTCTCAGCATAAATTTGAGCGTTGAGGTTGCCTCTGATCCAAATCAACTCAGTTCTTCCGCCGATCCAAATACCCGCCCATACCATGATGGTTCCACCACTATAAGGATGGACTTCCTGGCAGGATTTTAATCGCTGTTGGCGTCCAGGGGTTCTCCAGTGTCGTATACGTCTTGTATCCGGTCTCATACCAAAACGAGACTCATCAGAAAAGCACACGAAACGCTATTGTTCTTCTGCCCAATTTCTGTGTTCAAGAGCCCATTGATATCGAATCCTACGATTGTGCATTGCTATAGGTGGTACCCGTAGCGGTCTTCGGGAATGAAGGTTCACTTCATGCAAGCGGTTTCTGACTGTTTGGTCGCTAATTAAGTTCCCTGAAGAGTGATGAAGCCTCACGGCTAACATCATGGCGGTTATTGTTGGAGCTCTTCGAGTTAAGATTTGAATGTATCGGTCTTGTCTCCGTGTGGTGCAGCGATACCGTCCTCCATGGCGCTCAGCCACGGTACCAGTGCTTCGGTATCGTGTCCAAAGTCGACTGATAACACTCTGACTTGTATTCAGAGCTAAAGCCACAGTACGTTGCCGGGAACCAGCTTCTATCATTCCCACGGCTCTGAGCATTTCTTCCCTGCTTAAATGACGTCGCCGCTCCATAATAACGTTGGTTTTAACCAGTAGTAGGGAAACAGTAGCACTAATAATGTCTTCAATGCGTTGTATGTTTTTATAGGGAAAATATTGACAGCTGATTTTCATCTTTTACTCGAATTTGATTCACAGTTCCTGATTCAAATTATGAAATGCACCAAAAAGGATCCATATAAATTTATAAAATCATAAATTTATTACAAAGCCACATCTCAATCTCAAGAAATCCGCATAAAAATGCTTGATCCCTAGACACTTTTGATGTGTGTACTTTGCTTAAAATGATACTTTTTCGAAAGAACGAATTCGTATGCAGCTCGATTTTTTCATGGTTTTTCAGTGATGGTCGTGCTAACTTAAACACATTGTGGATTTTGAATCATGCACACCTTACTTTCGGCGGTAGTGGAAATATTTATTTCTTTACCATGACTTTGTAACAACTTAGCCAATTCATAGATATAGGATCAAAGAGGTGTGGTTTGATGCTCTGCCAACAAAACTAGCCGACAAAGGCCTATCATATACCTTGAAAGCACTCAGTACATTAAAAGAGTCATCATGAAACGTTTATATCGCCAAGTTTAAATAATCAAGTGGCTACTATCTATGCCTTTTTCTCTAAGCCAATTTAAACGATTCCACGATCAAGCTATTTAATCCTTTTATGGATGTTAAACATCGACGGCGCTATTTTTAGTGTTCATGGATTGTGCAACACTATGCCGTAAGTGGTAACTAACGGTAGTGCTCTATTGCTTTGGCTAGTTTTTTTAGTTACAGCCTTCTGAATAT